GGGTTACGAAGCGACGATCTCTTGAAACAAGAACAAAAGATCGTCGTTGCAAGTCACGGCATCCGAAGCGAGGTTTGCATGCATGCATGCAGTCAAGGCGATTCCATCTGAATAAGCCGCAGTCAAAGCGAACCGACTGCAGCCAAACACATCTACCAATCAATATCACGAACCAAAACTGCGAGTCCGTTCTGATTTCGTCAGTCCCAACTCCACTCACACTAACCCTCCCCCAATGCAATACAACAAGACACGGAAGAATTTTTGTGCACGACATTGTCATTGGTGAGTGTGAGTGGGTAAATCCTCTGACGTCGAAAACTTGAGGCTTTTCACGATGTTCTCGTCCCCGCGTCGATGACGAGATGTTTGGGTGGTTCAATCGCAGTGTTTTTCTTGGTTGGAGATATGCTATGCTACATCGGTGAGGGTTGGTGGCTTGGACCCCTAGACCCTTGAGATGGGAGACAGTAACAAACGGTTCAGCACCTCCAACAGTGAGTATGAGATAACCGGCTTGGAATTGAGTTCGAAATTCGTTGAGTCGTATAGACAACAAGATTCAGCCTGAAGAGATACAGTTTCCCTTTCCCAGATCAACAGGGCCCGCGGTAACCGACCGAAGATAAACTGAAGGCATTACCAATCAGAATACGGCGCTAAACAGTGAGAACGGTGCCTCTTGGCTCTGTTGATCCACTGACGGTTGATTCGCTGCAGCGTTATCTACGGAGGGAGGCTATGCTAGAACGGAAGCGGGTTCGTCGGGGTTGAGGGCCGAACGGAAAAGCGTTACGACTTGATCCGAAATGCCTCAGATAGAATACGCCCTTAGAGTTGAGCCAGTTTGAGGTTTGAGGGAATTATGCTTGAACAGTGGCATGGTATCGGTGATTCTACGGTACAGAGAAGATAAAATGAATACGGTGGCAGAAATGATCCGTTTGACCCCTGGAAAAACAGAGGCTCAAGGGAGGGGGAGGGGGTAACCCTGGATGTAGGGATATGACGTATTAGCATGCAGTTTGAACTTCATTAGGAGAGTAAGACAATAGCGCCCGTATCTGACGGATGCAGTTACACAGATGATAACGATATTTGTTTACTTGTGATTACTCGTCCTAGACCACGAGACAGTAACACAGAGCACGAGATACACCACAAGTCCTATCACTATCTCTACAAATTACACGTGCTGCATCAAGCCTGAACAGTCTAGACTTTGCGCCTTATAACGCTGTCATACACTGGACCGGAAATATTTTGCATGTGTGATACCCCAAGCATTGCCGAAAGTCTTCACATGCATGACGCCCGTTTCAACTCATCATCATCAGTGACTTTCGATTGACTAGCCTCAAAAAAGGACACACGCGAAAAGCCGCCGTGAGCGCCGTCTAATTTGACGTCCCCACCCCTGCATGCATCGTGAGGAACAAAGAAAAAGCAGAGACCAAGAGAGAGGGAACCCTTGTTTGGGGCTCAGACGGAGGGGAATGGCCGAAATACCGACGATGACTGAAAACATGTGATGGTGATGATTAAATCATAAAAATGGAATTAAAAGTGTCATAAAATAGGATAATTAAAGATGGATATTAATTAAAGAGGTCATAAAATAGGGGAAAGGACGATAGATCGAAAGTCATCGTGATATCAAACAAGTGATGTCAATCACTGCCCCAGAGAAAAGAGAGTTGTGGAAAACCTGGGGAGGTACTGTAACACTGTTAGTGAGATGCAGACAGTCGACGTCAGAGGTGGGAATGACACAAAAACGGTTTACTGGACAAGAATATCCACTTTTGTGACGGATCGAGGAGTATCTAGACGATTCTAGGTTTAGTAATTGTTTCTGCCTTATTTACAGTATATATCTCGTGAAAGAATCCTCAAGATAAGTCAGGGTAAATAGTCGTGGCGATATTAATGTGAACAACGAGAGTTACCCTGAAAATGAAGCGTGTGGCGTGAGACAGGGTCCTTTTCCCTCTACAGTACGGAAGAGGCACTTTTCGGGCAGAGGTGAGGTGAGGTTGCATGCATGCAGAACAGCCCCCCCGGCCCCTGTGCGAACACCCTGTAGAGCGCCGGATAACCTCCGTAAGGCAGTGGAGACGGCTTCACCAGTTACGGTCGGTGAAACGGTAGAGGGGGTTGATCCACCTTGGTGATGTTGATGTGGTTATTTGTTTGTCAGCTTATTGGAGGCCTGTTGGACAGTTGTCATGTATGAGTGAGCATGTTACTGATATGTGTTTTTGACTGACAATTCGTTGACTGGATATGGGTTCGGCGAGGCTACGGTGTAATGATAACAGTGAACGAGTACAGTATCCAATGGACCATCGCTGGGATAGGCACGGGCTAGAGTGTCGGATGGTTGTTTGACAAACGGACGGCGCCAAGCCAAAGAGTCAGAGTGCTGAGGTCACCGAAAAGGACACAGAGTCCACTGTACCAATGATGACATGGTACAGCACAGCACAGGTACTGATACAACCGTAATGTACTGTACTTTACGGGCTGTGACTGTGAGTCTGGGCTGGGCTGGGGGGGGGGCTGTACTTGGCATGAGTCTCCACTTGCCCGAGTTGAACTCAAACTTGACTCGGTGGGACCTGCCAGACCAGACCGGACCCATAACCCAACCCAGTCTTGACCAGGGCAGGAACGACACAGTACGTACCATGATGGCATCAATGGGTCCCCTTCCCGTCATCGTCACCCTCAAGAGACAAGGAGGGTGGCTTTGGTCTAGACATATAAACTCGTCTTCTCCCCCCTCGATACGGTCACCGTTTGCATCCATTCCATCCATCACCACTTTCAACTCACTCCTAAACAACTCTTCTATTGCTTCCTATTTGAGGCATTCGCACTCATACATCTGAGACCCTCTTACATACTCATACTCCCACTTACATACAAACCCCACACAACCGCAATCATGGGCAAGACTGCTGTTCACTTTGGCGCTGGCAACATCGGTATGTCTTTTGTCGCTAATCGCTCTAACCTCTCATGCTAACCTAACTATCCAGGCCGTGGCTTTGTCGCCTGCTTCCTTCACAACTCTGGTTACGATGTGGTCTTCGCTGATGTCAACGACTCAATCGTCAACCAACTCAACGACACTCCCTCATACCGCGTCATCGAGGTCGGCTCTGAAGCTACAGTCGAGAACACCATCACAAATTACAAGGCCATCAACTCGAGAACACACGAGGAGGACCTGATTGAGACCATCCGCACAGCTGAGATCGTCACCTGCTCAGTCGGTCCCAACATCCTCAAGTTCATCGCCCCTGTCATCGCCAAGGGTATCGACCGCCGATCAACAGAAGACTCTCCCCTGCATGTCATTGCCTGCGAGAACGCCATCGGTGCCACTGATACCCTTGCCGAGCACATCAAGAACAACACTGATGCCTCTCGTCTTGAGGAGCACCACCTCCGAGCCCGATATGCCAACTCTGCTATTGACAGAATCGTTCCCGCTCAGGACCCCGATGCTGGTCTTGACGTGACACTCGAGAAATTCTTTGAGTGGGTCGTTGACCGCACTCCCTTTGAGGATGTTGGCATCCCCGACATCAAGGGTATCAACTGGGTTGACAACCTTGAGCCCTTCATTGAGCGCAAGCTCTTCACTGTCAACACTGGCCACGCCACCGCTGCCTACCACGGTTACAACCGAAGAAAGCGCACCGTCTACGATGCTCTCCAGGATAAGGACATCATGGCTGAGGTTCGCGGTGCACTGATGGAGACCAAGAACCTGATCGTCTCCAAGCACGCTATTGACGAGGAGGCCCAGGCCGCTTACGTTGAGAAGATCATCAAGCGAATTGGCAACCCCCATCTTGAGGATGCCGTTGAGCGTGTCGGCCGCGCCCCTCTCCGAAAGCTGTCTCGCAAGGAACGATTCATCGGCCCTGCTGCTGAGCTTGCTGAGAATGATCAGTCCATCAAGTATCTACTCGATGCTATTGAGATGTGCTTCCGCTTCCAGGATGTCCCCGATGACGAAGAGTCCAAGCAGCTCGCCGAGATTATGTCCGAGAACGGTCCCGAGGACGTTGTCAAGCAGGTCTGCGGTATTCAGGACAATGAGAAGATCTTCCCTCAATTGGTCAACGTTGTCCAGCGCGTCCAGGCCGACAGCGCTGAGGAATAAGCGATTTTCATTCGGTACAATTAACTAGAAGAGATGGAGCCACGGGTACAGAGTGGCATGGCATGGCGTTTACGAGATATGACATACAATTTGCTTTGATGGCAGCATGGCGCAGGAAGGACTGGGATTCAATTCGAGCCTAAGGCATGATTATAGATTGATAGCACTGAACAAATCGGTTGCTCATACATTTGCGGACAATGCACTGTTACTACTGCGATCGACGTGATTGGTGACTAATGTGACTCGATTTGCGTAATAGTGTCAAGGATGAGTGATTGGGAATAGTGGCGAGGTGAGGCACTTGTCCATCGGGCCTTATGGCATTAATAACGGCCCAACATGGCGATGTCGACGTTGACATGCCCAATTAATTAATCTCGTCAAGTGCCAATTGTCGCATGTCCTACCCTGCCTCTGTACTGATATTGACGGAGATCGGATGTTGCATTCCCTGTAGCAGCCGGGATCATATCTCGATACATCGCCAACGGAGATCCGATCCCGTCGCCAACGAATGCCCTGAAACAAAATTCTCATTCGCTGTGACTCCGTCAGAGGCATGACTTCCCATTCGCCGTAAATAGTCTGAGGCATACGTCGACATCATGAGATGGAATTCGGCCCAGTTCCCTAGACAACTCCACTAAGAGCCGCTAGCGCGACCCCTTTTTAACCTTCAACTTAACCGTCCGATCGGGCGGTCCGTAATCTTGCATCAGACCACGATTTGCATACCCACACCACCAAACACCAACCCTTGATCGCCCCACGGACGGCATTCGGAGAATATCCAAGAAAAGAGACTGCTTCGTATACGATGCTCAAAGCGCTGTGGCTGGCTGGCCTGGCCACTGCCTCAATCACCATCCAAGTCCACCGTGTCGACCCATTGCCCTTCAGCACGTCAGGTAGCGCTACATCAGCGGCTGATCTATTCTCGCGGAGCTGTCCAGAAGAAGCCGAAAACACAGCCTCGCTACTCGCATCATCGTTTGATGACCTTTCAGGTAGAAATGTATTCCCCTCGTCTGATGGGTTTGTGAGGGGTGCTGTCGAGGCGTGGGCTAAGCACGAGCATCTCATCCTACGCCCTGACGAGGTCTGGTTTGAAGTTCTGGCGCAGATGAATGTCTATATGAGTACCCATTCTGAGGCTCTCCGGCATTTATTCGTTGACCACTCTGGGCGCGAAAAGATTACAGTGGAGGGGTTTTCGTGGGACGATATCATCGGTGCGTTTAGGGTGGAGATCCAGAGCAGGGTAAAGACGGGGTGGTTGCTGGATTGGATAAAACCTGGTTTTAGCACGTCGACTGCAGAGGATGACGTTACGGCTACGGTGTTGATGATGGGGTTGATGCAGCATTTCTTTGAGTACGAGGGCATGATGGTATGTGGAATACCGAGCGTCACGTTACTGGGGGAAAGGGAGGATTGGGTTAAGCTGGGGGACAAGGTTGAGATGTTGAAGGAGTTTGGGGATGAGGCGGTGGGGTTTGCGGCGAGGTTGAGGCCGATTATGAAGAGGTTTGTTAGTAGCTGGGATGTTGAAGGTGAGGGTGAGGGTGAGGGTGAGGGTGAGGGTGAGGGTGAGGGCGAGGGTGATGGGGAGAGGAGGTTGTTCTGGGAGCAGATTGTTAGGGCGAAGAAGAAGTGGTCTTGTGGTGAGGGGCCGAGTGAGTGGGATGTTTCCGGCTGGATTACAGGATTTATGCATTGGGATCGAGATGGAAAGGTTAGGGGGGTTTATGAGGATTGGTACGATAACTGGGATGACGAGGAAGAAGAAGTGGGAGAGAAGATCAAAGAGGTCAAGGGAGAGGAGGTCAAGGTTGCAGAGGAGGTCCATATGGGCATCTTCCCCAACGACTGGTCCATCACAATCGACGGACAGAGCTACATCCCCTGCACCCTCTCCGACATGAGCATCGGCTACGCCAAAGCACCCCTGACCATGAAGAACTACCCCTCGCCGGGCGTCGACACACAAGCCTATCTCGTAGCAGGCAATGTCGGCGTTGAGAAGAGGAACACGCCCGGAGGAGTCATGGCGCAGCCTGTGAGTGGGTGGTTTGTGTATGCGGGTGTTGATGCGGCTTATATCGCTGGGCCGTGGATTGGCAGCGGTGAGGAGTTGGGAGGGATCGCGGGGGGGATAGTGAGCTGTAAGGCTGCTTTGGAGGAGAGTGGTGAGGAGGAGAAGAAAGGGGAGGAGGAGCGGGAAGTAAAGGATTTGTAATTGTAATATCTAATGAGAGAAGGATAAGATGAACTAGTATAGCGTTAAGTGGGAAATGCAGGCTTGGGAGCTTTCCATCCTCGACAGCAGAAGCTGGGCATGTCGTGCATTTTCTTCCCGAGATAGCCCCATGGTGGATCGCAGCCATTCATTTTTTGTTTCCAGGCGTCTTCGTTGAATTGGTAGTAGTTGCCTGATGAATTGTTAGGATGTATTCTAAGAGCAGAGGGGGAAGCGCACCATCTCGACAGGTGCAGAGACGAGGAAGACAGCAGTTGTTTGGTTTGGGAATTATGCTGATACTGTTAGCTGTTGACGTTGATGTTAGGTTGAGGCTGAAGGGTGAGAGCGATGTAGAAGCTGGGATCGAGGCAGAGGTTGAGGGATGGGCTGGATCTGATAGAGAGGGAGGGGATACATACTAGTGATAACAACCACTGCTGGCCTTCTCAGGAACAGGTTTGAGAACAACCGGCTCAGGAGGAGGCGTAGCAGTCGTGAGTGCGACAAGTGTCAGTGTAGCGAGTGTGAGCTTCATGTTTCTTGCATTGCGCTGGAACCAAAGGGGAGAAAGGATACTTCATATAGCTAAGATGCCATGGTTTGGATCAGTAGTTTGGGGCTGCCGTGAGATGAGCTTAGAGACAGTCAAGTATTGGGTATGAGGAAAGAGGACGCACGGTTATTGGAGGTTTCTTTGTTGCTTTAGTCGAAAGCAGGTTTGAGGTCAGGAAACGGGAACGCATGGGGTGCTTTGTCTGTGCTATTTTGGGGAAGAGAATGCTTGGAATAGAGATGAAAGGATACATGTCTTTTATTGGCAGTGGCTCTTGCGATGACCATAGAGTCTTGGTAATACCTGTTGATTCAAGGGTCGAATGAGGCATGAAAGAAGCCAAGCGCTCAAGGTTCTGCCCAGATGCGATTGGATCAAGTGCTTAATAGGAGACTGAGCTTGTCAATAGCCAACTTGGGGTGACGGCATTATCGCAAGGACGGGATGGACAAAGATGAAGCTTGGCAGGTAACCAACGACATGAGGAATTAGTGTTGGAGCTGTATGGATAGGTGTCGGATCGGAGAAATGTGTCTAATCAGTATTGAGGGACGAGGTACCAGTCGTGATCCGGCATGAAGTGTGGGTTCTGGAGGGCGACTCATGTATTGAAGAGTACCTTGGGATACGGGTGTAAACAATGAGAGTAGGGAACATCTTCACGAGGCAGCAACGGACAGGCTCTCTACAGCTGCGTACCCCGATGTTCGGAATGCGCAAGACAAGTCGCTGTTGTATATTGTCTACCCTTATCTTTAAAGAATGTCTTGTAAACCATCGCTTCGTCTAGTGTACTGTAGTTTCTCGGTCCTCCGCATATCGCGGTTGCCCCGACCAGTCTTTCGCAATATCTGAAACAGAACTCGGTCGCTGGCAAGATCCAATTCGACAGTGTATCCTGTAGGCCATGCCGGATATGTCCCCCAAGAAGCCAGCATAGCTCAACTCACATCGTGAACGCTGCACTCGAGCTCCGAACCATCAGATTCATCATCCTCCTCCTCTCTAAGTCCCGTTAGTATCAACACAGGTCTACCTATTGAGTGCATGACTTACCGTACCGGCGACAATGGGGTAGTACGGCGCTGTCCATGCTAGATAACGGTCCGTGTATCTGTCCTAAGATCCTCGCACGGAATGACGCCCACGTCATACAAATACAAAGGGAAAACAAGCTCCAGAAGGTAGCGCATATCCCTCAGGGCGTTTCTGCGACTGATGCGGAGTGTAACGCCGGCTTGTATCTGGTGGTAATTATCCAAATCGTGCCAGGCGTGAGGCGGAGGATCGTCGCGGAGTGCGGGCCTGATGGTTATCTGTAGCCAAGCTGTCGATTGGAGAGTCAAAGTGACGGTCCAGTATCCTTCGAGGACGTCTTGGGGTTCGTATAGTGTGCGAGGGAGGGGATGGTATTGACGGCAGAGGCCTGTTGTTATGAGGAGGTTGTGGTAGGGGACCCTCATGATGGACTTGAGAGCGTCGAAATGTAAGGGTGAGCTGTCGATTCTCCTCAGCAGGGCGTCATAATGGTATTTGTTCATTGTGGATGGTATTTTAAATGATAGTTTAATGATGGTTTAACGAGAAATTGATGATGATTTTGATGAAAGAGAAAGAGACTGAGATACGAGAAGACTTGGTGATTTGGCGGAGTACAAGAGCCCAGTCCGACCTTCCACCCAGACCCAAAGTGTAAGAAGACTTCCTTTCTGACGTAAAATGGAGGGGCTAAGAATACCTGACTCAGTCTTAGATCTTCTGAATACCTATATACTAAATCATGCTCAGTTTACCTAAGGCTTTTCGTCACCTAGCATAGAGGTCCCAAGTTTAATTGTACCCCCTTGCCAGATAAGATCACGAAAGGAGGAGACAACCAGCTCTAGGCGCATCTGTGGTCATTAGCCTTTGCTGATCCAACCACACTATTGCAAGCGAGAAAGATTGGACGTACCCATTCGATCAGTGCACCGTGCTCCAAAGCCTCGAAGCATGCGCTGGTCTCCAGTATCTTGTTGTAAAGGCTTCATGGCGATGACGAGGGCCCCTATTGCAAGCATTCTCGCCCACCATCAAGTTCCAAAATTATTAAAATATGTTCTTCCCTCATGCCCGAGAGTGTCGTGATTCAGCGTCCGTAGGTCTGGTGCTGTGACGACTGTCGAAGGGCCAGTGATGGTGAAGCTGCATCGACAGAGCCTCTGCGAACGGTCAGCTTTGCGCAGCAATTTGACACGCGATTACTAACCTTGTCTTGAAAGCCAGAAGTGAAAATCCTTATGATGCGCCCAAAAGTCTTTCGCGATCATTTCGTGCTCAATAGAGACCTCTTGAAAGTCGATGCCAGAGTTTGGAGTCATTCAGACCAGCCATTCTGAACCCTCAGGACCAAGAAGATCACGAAGGCCAGGCAACAGCGGAAAAGCTGAAATAAATCCCTCGTCAACTTTGGTTAAGCCGGATCCCCGGGGATGTCCCTTGTTGGTGATGGCAATGATACTCAAAGGTTCAACTAGCGACAAAAGGTCCATTTGGTGGAAATCGATGAATCCATGGGAACGGTCGACACGTACATCCAGATCTCCGGATGCTCTTCTCCCGATTTTCCAAGGATCCAATCATACAGGTCGTAGAGACTATCACAGCAACAGACCCGCGCGGCCCAGTGGTTGAAGGTGCCAGGTACTTGGGCGCAGATGTCGGTTTGAGGGCCCTCAGCGCGAGGGTTCCGGATGAGGAGTTTGGGGTCGCTCGAGATTTCGACGGCTGGAAGAATGCGTAGTAGATTGTAGGATGCTACAGGAGGACGCCAGTAAGCGGCGCCTGTATCATCCTGGCTCGTGTCGCGTTGGGGATTGTCATGTTGAGTAGCGTCACCCTGGAGAGGCGCATCGTCGCCTTGAGAGGCCTCACTCGGAGGCTTGTTATTTGGAGAAGGAGCTTGAGGCTGATGTTGTGCACCACTGGCATTGTCAGAAGCTTGAGGGCGCTTCTTCTCGCCTTTGCCGTGGGGTTGAGTCTTGGTGATGCGATATCGATCACGGTGCTTGGGATCCATGATGGCGAGGTCGGGGTTGTTGATGTTGAAGATTCGTATGCAGGCGCTATGATGAGAAGGGATTGAAGGAAGAAGAAAGAGAAAACTAGAGGAGGGGGAAATGAGAAAGACCTAGATCGACAGCGAGAATTGTTGTCGGCTGTTGGCAGTGCGAAGGCGAAGAGTGAAGGATATGAACTGCACTCACGTATACAGAGGTATTGAGGTGTGCGCTTCAACGGACCTCAATGACATCTATCAAGTTCCTTATTATTAATTTCTTATACAGTCTGATCCATCTGATGTCCCTTCGCAGGAGATGTCTTGACAAATTGTTCCAACTCTCAAAGCTCAAAGTACCGTGTTGAAAAGAGAGGACAGGCCGAATAACCTTATAACGCTATCATGATATGCGTGTAATTTCCATGCCTCATCCGCTAATGTAATTTCAGTTCCACGCTGCCCTCATCTTCACCATGCTAGATCACTCCCGAACACACAGAACCTCAATCCCAACAGCCCTCCCAAAAGCAACCAAACCCTCATCACTGATCGGCTCCCCAAACACCAACTCCCCCTCCCCACGCTCAATCCTCTCCTCCACATCACCACAAGACTTGGCCATAATAATCGACCACGCACTCTCACCCCCCGACGACCCCCTCCGAAAACACGACAGCGTCATCCCCGGAATAATCGAAGGCGAGTTACCAGTGTCGCTTCCATCCGGGCTAGCTGCCAGTCTCGCAAGCCATATGTTTCGAGGACCAGGGACACGCCAGCAGATGTTCACCTGGGGTCCTGATGTGTCGCAGTTGACGACGTAGAAGCCGCCTGACGCGATGATGCATGCTCGGGAGACTTGGGTTAGGTTGCGGCTGGAGAGGACGGGGGCTGAACCGTCGTAGATTGAGGGAGGGATTTGGCTCCGTTGAGGTTGGGTTTCTTGGGTTTCTTGGGGTTGTTGCTGGTGTCGCTGTTCTTCTTCGCGCCATCGGTTCAGCGCTCTTTCAGGGAGAGTGTTGACGTGAACCAAGCTGACACAGTCGTCAAAGATGACTAAACCACTTCGCGGTAACTCGTCTACGATATTGACTACAGTTTCTTCAGTGCGCGGTTCATCGCCTGCTTCAGGTGTATCATCCTCTGAATGCTGTGGACGGCCTCTTATCGTTGGAGTGTCAGGTTGATCAGCGTCATGACGATGCTCGTGGAGATGGTGATGTCTTGCCATTTTGTAGCAGCTTCGTTGAGTTGTTGAAGTGATATGAGTATGCTAGCTTGAGCAGGAATGAATGACGATAGATATGGCTTGCGGTGGAACGTGAGCTGACTTGATCAGCTGCCATTTGCACTGACACGAGGGTGAGGCTGTCACTTTACACTTGTGAATCATTACACGGGAGGCACAGTTTCACACAGCGACTTGATGATTAAGAGGATTTCTCGTGCATTCTGTTTCATTTCCATGCCTTCTTTCCCGTCATCTCAGTCCATCATCGCTTTCACTCCAATCCACACCCCTTGTCCACCTTATGCACATAACCTGGCACGACCTCAAATCCTACGAGTCTACCCAGTGCAGAAATACTCTTATAATTACCTTGACCTGTATTGACGACAGCACCCTCTCCACGCTCGAAATCCTCGTAATTGCGATCGCTGCAACTGCACAAGATCATGGATATCGTGCCTTCTGCATCAGCAAGTGACATCATAAAGGTTGTGAGAGAATAGCCCGGCTTTCTCTCGGCTTCCATCAAAGATTCGATGCTCTTGAGAGGTTCATGAATCGCTTCGCCAATTCTTGCCAGCCATAAGTTTCGCGGGCCTGGAACTCGCCAGCAGATATTGACTTGTGGACCTGATGGGTCGCAGTTGAAGACACGAAAGGCTTTATCTGCGGAGATGACGAGAGCCTTGTTGATGACCGTTATGTTGCCGCTCTGTCGAGGCTGAGTAGATGTGTTGCTACTATCTCCGCGAGAAATAGGCTGCCCGGAGCTGGCGCTGGTTCTGGCCTTCTTTCTTGGGGGACCTTCTCGGTGATCTTCGTTATTGGGCTGAGTGTTTGTCCAGCGAGCTTGTGCTTTGGCGGATTGGGCGTCAAGACTGAAGAGGCTCAAGTAGTCATCAAATACTGCGAGACCAACTCTGCTAGTTTCGATATGTGCAAGGCTCTCCTCCTGTTGGACTGGGCTGGGAGAGCGATTCTCGGGGTGGCGCTGGTCTTCAGTATCGCCCCTCTCACTGTGCTCATTCTCCTCCTCATCCTCCTCATTTTCAGCAGGCGGCTCGTCATTCTCCCGATCGGCCACCTCCTGATTCAGAAGCTCATTGTTTTGCGGGTCATTCGGAGGCAGACCAGGCGGGAAAGGATAGTTGTAATGGTAGTGATAGTGGTAGTGATAGTGGTGGTGATAATGATGGTAGACATGGTGCTCTTTTATCTTGAGGCGTGAACTTGACGCAATCGGCAGCAGCTATCGCAGTGCTCTTGAGTGTTGCCGCGTTGAGACCATGGGATGAACGGATGAGAAGTGAATGAAGCGCGAAGCCTCTTTTGTTGTTGATGTCGGCAGGCATGCCTGCCATTTTGCGATTGTGAATCACTGCCTCAAATAACACACTGCCAGGCAGTGGCGCCTCTATTGAAAACGTTCTTGATGAAATAATTAAATCAGTTAGCGATAATAAAATCAGGAGAGGGTTCCAATAAAGCAAAGCCTTGTACTGAATACTGCATTGTGAAGCTGAAGGATAGTAGCTGACAGTCGTGTTTGCAGCGACACCGCGGGCGCTCACAACCGCAACCACCATCGCGATCAAAATGCAGCAAAAACGAGTTCGAAAATAAAATTCTTCACACTCGTGAAGTATCTAGTCCGCAATTCTCACTGTCATGAAGTCGATGTTGATCATCACGAGTGGCGATTTTCCCCAGCTTCAATCGCCTCCAAAAAAACGTGCATCAAAACTCCTCCCCCAGACTCCGCATCCCATCATCTCGTCAACTTAACCTTGTGCCAGAAAAACAATGGCCGGGGAGATGGAGAAGTCCCTGCTTCTCGGTCTAACGCTCGGCGAAAAATCCCACATTCAACTCCATTGTGGGTGAGATAAAAGGGTCCACGAGGTTGATAGTGACACTTTTAATACTGGGTCGCGTGTCACAAGTTTAGCAGTCAATTAAAGGCCATCGACGAACAGCTCTCGGGGAGAAAGAAAGCATTAGACAATGATATAGATATCAACAAAATGCATTCTAAGCTTGTGCTGAATTTATCCTAAATTTACCTAAGCTTAGGATCGAGGCCCCAAGCCATTCATTCTGACGAGAGCCTCAGCAGTGCACCAACACCGTCATCTTTTGGCAATATTGGTAAACCCTCATTATGCCCGCCTAAACGCTCGGCTAACTCCCGTTCTTGCGCCGCTATCCGCCTGCCAAGGCATCTTTTCTCCGTCGTAAGGATCGCCAAGACAAGAGCGGTTCCGAGTCTCCAATTGGCACGCAAGACAAGCACAAGTTGGTTGTTGGTGAGATTGCAGATTAGTTGCGGCTTAAAAGCTGACGCATCTCACAAAAACCGCAATTGCCAAAAGAAGCAACCCGAGAGTCACTTGAAAGGAATCGAAAAAGTTTAATTTGCGCAAAGGGATCGGCGTATACGACGGTCTTGAGTAAGGGAGGGTGGATGATCAGTGATATACTGTGCTTTGAGATAGGAGATAATCCGATGTCGGGTCAATGACAGTCTCTGAATGAGTAACTTGCATTCGAATTGTAGCAATCATCAAGATGTGTAGCCAAGTTTTGGTGGTGATGCCAATGTTCTAGCATCGCCAAGTTTACAAGTTCAGGTCCCCTAACTGATGATCTCCCGCGGCCAAGAAACGTGCTTTAAACGACGTGCATTTCCTGTCCCCTTCTTTCTATCCAATTTTATGGAATTGTAAGTGAGATCAACGGTTTGACAAGCAGCTCAGCTCAGCTCAATTGGACCCTTCCTTTGATCATCTTCCCCAGACCCAACTGTACCGTTGAATGTCATTGCGTGAGGTCCACTGCAAACACAGACCTAACCTCCACTGTAGCGAACCTCGCATTTCAAGATTGTTTTCGCTTGCAAGAGAAAACTCTCAACTTTATTCCTGTCTCCACGTCAATTAAACAATTCCAAGGCAGAGTTAATTCCTCACAATGATAATGTGTCACCAACAACCGCTCCGAACCACAAATTCTGCATCTTCTCCACGTAAACTGGAACCTCAATCACGCATTGAGCTCTTTGTCCGCTCCTCATGAGGACATGATCTTCAGTTCCCACCCCCGACCTTTGAGGCCCGATATTTTCTTCAATCCCCAGGTTGCTGTTTTTTTTCGCCATTTTTTTTTTTAAACGAGAGCTGTGGTGGACTTTGGGGAAGACCCTTTGATCGCCATCTACATGAAGCATCAACTGTAAACCACATTAACCGTGGTCGTTATTAATCGTATAACTTCACGTGTAGAGCCTCGGCTTCATCATGCTTAATCACTAGCACCTCACCCATCGTGGACATATCCCCTGAACCAATGACGTCTCTGCCGTTCGAGATGATCGCCACGACAAGGGTTCTTCTGGACCAAATAGAACGTTTCATCCGCTAGCTCCCCCAAAAATATGCCGTTTTTTTCAGGCGCCTTTGCCGCCTTGGAACTTGACGTCACGGTTTTGCCTGTTTTCAGTAACACCGAGGTTGTCTTGGCAGATCCGAAGGAATCGGAAGACGGCATCTGCAGTGTGTGTGTGCCCTGTAAGGCAGCGCCTGAGACTCACAGTGGGCTTTTTAGTGCTCGGGTGGGTGAGTTTCAGTGGTTGGTTTGGTGGGCGCCTTGTGAACGACTCAGGCGTGGGGATCTCCAATATTCCTTCGGTCCACCCGCTGTGACACTCCAGGTCTTCAAGGGACTTTTTTCGTTCTTGGGCCAACTTTTCGACTTCTGTCAAGGATGATCGTCACTTCCAACCCGTGGAGATAGTGGACCGTACGTGGAGAAGTGGTAATACTACACTCACTTCAGAGTTTTCGCATCCCAGACTCCCTCTCACTTACACTCCAACATATAAACCCTCTTTTCTCCCCCAATGTCTCCCTGTCTCCCTCACCAAGCTCCCCCATCCTCCCAGCTCTAGACGAGCTCCCTCCCTCAAACATAGCAGGTCTATAGCCCCCCCTCCGTCAACCATGCCTCCATCCTTCGCAGGCCTGACGGGCAAGAAATTGTCCCTGGCCATTTCTACCGTCGCAACGACAGGCTTCCTCCTCTTTGGATATGACCAGGGTGTCATGTCTGGTATTATCGACGCAGACCCTTTCCATGATTACTTCCCTGAGACAAAGGATAGTACCATGCAGGGTTTCGTTACGGCCATTTACGAGATTGGGTGCTTGTTCGGCGCCATGTTCATCCTCTGGATCGGTGATCTGCTCGGTCGTCGAAGGGCCATGATTCTCGGTGGTTGGATCATGATCGTTGGTGTCATTATCCAAGTCACTGCTATGAAGGGCCACAAGGCTCTCGCGCAGCTCATCATCGGACGAACAATCACTGGTGTCGGAAACGGCATCAACACTTCCACCATCCCAACCTACCAAGCTGAGTGTTCCACCACCACCAACAGAGGTCTCCTCATCTGTATCGAGGGTGGAATCATCGCCTTCGGTACCCTCATCGCATACTGGATCGACTACGGCTGCTCCTACGGTCCCCAGGACCTCACATGGCGCTTCCCCATTGCCTTCCAGTGCATCTTCGGTCTTATCCTCTGCGTCTCAATGGTCTGGCTGCCAGAATCTCCCCGCTGGCTTCTCACCCACGACCGACACGAGGAAGCCGAGCGTGTCATTGCCGCCATTCGCGGCTTCGAAGTCGACAGCGACGAGACCCGCGCTGAACGCGACCGTGTTGTCGACTCCATTCGTGCCTCTGGTTTCGCTGCTCAGAAGAGCACACCCGTCAAAGCGCTCTTCACCGGCGGAAAGACACAGCACTTCCGCCGTATGCTTCTCGGTTCGGGATCGCAGTTCATGCAGCAGGTTGGTGGCTGCAACGCTGTTATCTACTACTTCCCTATTCTGTGCACCGACATCTTTGGCGATAAGAACTTTGCTCTTCTCCTCGGTGGCATCAACATGATTGTCTACGCCATTTTCGCAACGTCGTCATGGTTCCTTATTGAGCGTGTTGGTCGTCGCAAGTTGCTTCTCCTCGGTACTGCTGGTCAGATGCTTTCCATGTTCTTGACAATGGGTTTCCTCATCCCTGGTGGTTCTGACCCTGGTAACAATGCGCCTCAAATCTCAAAGGGTGCTATTGCTGGTCTCTTCACTTACATTGCTTCGTTCGGTGCTACATGGCTGCCTCTTCCCTGGTTGTATCCCGCTGAGATCAACCCCCTCAAGACCCGAGGCAAGGCCAACGCTACATCTACCTGCACCAACTGGCTATTCAACTTTGTCATTGTCATGATCGTCCCCATCATGATCTCCAACATCCACTGGGGAACCTATCTCTTCTTCGGCTGCGCCAACGCCACATTCTTCCCCATCCTTTACTGGTTCTACCCCGAGGTAAGCACCCCCACTTCATCGCTGCAATCACAGCTAACAAATTCCAGACTGCCAACCGATCTCTCGAGGAAATCGACATCATCTTCGCCAAGGGCTTCGTCGAGAAGATGTCGTATGTCCAAGCCGCCAAGGAGCTTCCCTTCCTCTCTCACGAGGAGGTCGAGCGCGAGGCTATCCGACTTGGTCTCGTCGACGAGTCAAGCCGCGGTGGAGTTTTGGAGAAGCCAAATGAGGAGAGCGGCACAGTCCGCGACGACTCTGGCTTCAACTCTGAGAAGTCTTAGATTCGCTCATGAGTAACTGTTTCATATAGAAACGTTTTGTGTTGGAACACATTTAGGATACCCTTTTTTTTTTACTTTAGAGTCATAAAGACTTAGAGCCATTTGGCATTATAGAGTTATAGATCAATAGACCACTATAACGAAACAAACCTCAATCTCCAACCCGTAAGCCTAACATCACTTACACCGTGATCTCCGCATCAATTCTCCAATTTACAACGTGTGGCGAAAACTCTTTCCCCGACATCCCCCCCTTGGAGATTAGATTACTCTTACCTAAACCCCGTGGAGACCAACATGACGATCACTTCCCTTCACCATAATTAAAATTGGAGAATTCCTTGAGGAGTCCTCCGCGTTTACCTCGAGGACCACTTGTTTTTGTGGAGTTGGTCTCAGGCAGTTATTTCCTTTGACTTTGAAGCAGTGCGAGTTAGTGCTAGGGAGGGATTATAGTTGGTTGGCTTTTGTTCATCGGCGGATGTCCTGTTTTGGAAAGCCGAGAACTGAATCATTGCACTGAATTCAGTGTGAACAACTGTTTGGGAGGATTCATATCGTGAGCTTTTGTTATCAAGACCCATAATTGGCGTATCTTGCATTTCTCACCTGCCCCGTGGGGATATGACTGCGGGATTGTAGTTGAAACGCGGAGATAAGCATATCTCAGCGTTGGAAGCGAGAGTGTGAGATTATGACATCAGTGAGGTTGGGAGGACATAAGGAAATATGCGATGGCGAACGTATTATATAATCACTTTTTCACGACTTGGACGTTAAGACATCACTAACAACAAGATCTTAAGTAGAGATATTCACATTTCTGCCTACCCTAAGTAAGAATCGACAAAGTTAATTCGGTAGAGGGAACATCAGTCCCAGGTAGCAAAGAGCCTCTGAACTTTCCATGCTCAAAACTAAGTATTTAAATAGCCCGAAAGGGTTGTGATAATCGGAAACGCACTTATATCAAGTCCCAAATTGGATTTTTTGGTCTTTCATAGGCCGCCTCTTCACCTGGCCTCTGCGGCTCTGCAACCTCGTAGATCATCCACCCTGTCACAGGCTTTACTCCCGTTTTCTTCTCATCCACTTCCTTGTTAGTTCTTTCCTCAAGAGCAGGGACATAACCTTCAGGGCCTGGAAGAGCTTGCATACCAACAGACCCAGCAAGCATCCTGCAACTATACAAGGTTCCACGATCGTCAACTTCAACCGGGACAGTGACATATCCACAAGGAATGTCATTCGTGTCGACACTCGGATATGATATTTCCTCCATGGCGTCATTCCGCTGAGCGGGCATTCTGGCCTCTCCTTCGTCGGTCCAGAAACAGAATGCCGTGATCCAGCCTGACAGTCTTGCTGACCCTGACCCGCGCTTTATATGAGCAATCTGGTTCCAAAACATATGGGTGGCTGGGTCGGAAGGCTGAGTAAAAGAGAGAATCATATCTCGAAGGATTGGCCGTAGAAGCTTGGCGAAGTGAGTTGGTTCCTCGCCCATTTCATCCAGTTTATCAAGTCTTGTGAGAATGTCCTCATAGTCGGTAACTTCTCCGAGAAGTGTTACTGAAGGGAGACCACATAGTATACTTATTCTATAAGAGAAGTATCTCTGTAGTGTGCCCATGAGGAGCACAGAACCAACGATGCGATCATTTTCAGTAGTCGTCGAGAACGAAGGAAGAACCCATTCTCGGAAGGAAGGGTCTTTGATATCTTTCTTGATCTTGAGCGTCATTCTCTGGGAGAGTTTTCCGTAGTCAGCAGTATGCAGAGTCGAATTGTCAATAACCTCGAGCTTTTTCTGGCCCTCATGGCTAACAAAGAAATCCCGCATCCTTTCGGAGTTGGCGTTGATGTAAACACTGAGTTGGGTAATCATAGCAAACCAGACATCTTCGGGGCGAATGATGAGATGATGGTGAGTGCTGTATGCGTAGAAGCATGACCAGACGAGGCCGTTCTTTGACGCTGTGACATGATTTTCTTCGAGGGACCCGTTGATGGAGAACGAACTTTGGATGATTTGCTTGCACCCATCTGCTTCCCGGGAACTAGCTCCTTGTAGGAGCTGTGAAGTGTTTTCAGCTTTGGGTTGATGCCAAGAATTGACTCTACCATTGGGAATGGCCACGGTGACAGGCATATTCGTTGTAGTGAGATTCTTTCTGGGTCAGACAAGTGTTAGAAGATGATGAAGAAACTGGTTTGTAGTGTAGGTTGCCATGCTCGCTTTTTATAGGTAAAATGGTTCGGTGATGAGACTCGGGGGCTGAAAGAAGCTTTAGCCCTGCTAAATGATGACTGTTTATCTGACTATGGAAATGACCGCAATATAGGTCGTGAGTCAATATTTGATACTCATCATTGGTTGACCTATTTGCTTTGACTTCTGCTTATAAGGTTAAACTTTAGGCTCTGAACACTGGCGATGAGTGAGAACACGACATTCCGGCACCAATATACAAGCTTTTACCCAGAAAGTCATTGGTTGATTGATGTAAGGTGCGTGTGAATGCTTTAGAATTTGCTACATCCCCTTCTTCAGGAAGAACCCAGCCAGCGTCGCAATATGTTCCAGCTGCTCAAGTGAAACGCCCTCACTCCTCGACAGCTTCTCCGCAACAGCACTAAACGTATGCCAAACCTCTATATACTTATTATTCGTATTCTGATTAGTCCCAATCCAATTCAGCGCATACGCCATCTGCGCACGACTCCGTATCTTCTTCAAATCCTCTTCATCGATGGAAATATGGCTGTAATTAATAGCCACCTTTGGCTCCAACTTTCTATACTCTCTGGTGTACAGGGCTCCTAACCTCACGCACTCGATGACAAGCGCTGCTAAACCTGCTGCTAGACCGTTGGCAACAGAACTACCAGAGTGAGCGTCGAACTTTTCCAACTGGGTTTTGGTTTCGTTGCTGTCGATTACGACTTCGTGCCCGGGAAAGATGAAATCTACGGTCTGGGAATCGCCGACTGTGTCGACTATGTTGCCGGTTGCTTTTGCGGCGCCGATTCTGAAGCAGTGGTGGCTGCTTGCGTGGGGATAGCTAACGTCTGCGGACTGTCCTTGGTCACTGGCTGCGCAGAATATGAGACAGCCGTGTTTGCCGATGGCGTTGAAGATGGCTGTGTCGAATTGGCTTCTCAGTGGTTCTTCTGGCGGTTTGATGGTCCATGACATGCAGATGATCTGGGATCCTCTCTTGGCGGCGTAGTTGATGGCCTAGCTCATTAGAACCTTGAACCGACGTCACCGGGGATTTCTCACCTTTACTGCACTGTCAGGTTTGATCTGAAGCTTCTTGGAGTTCCCCGACCAAAACGTCTGTAGCTTGATGACATGTATGATGGCACTGGGGCATATCTTATGGATAAGTCTCGCCATTAACGTCCCGTGCCCAGAGGGTGAGCTCCAATACGGTGGCACGCGAGGTGTCGAGCCGCCATTATGGTGATCAAAGCTCTGGCCTAGGAACGTGCGATCCCTCGTGTCATTGAGATCAGGGTGCATGATATCAACGCCATCATCGATCAGGGCCACTTCCACCGGCGGTAGAGAGGGGCTATTGCCCCGGAGCGCTTTTATCTGCTTGAAGCGCTTGGAGAAGCTCGTCATGCATTCCATCCACTTATGAGGATCGATTGAGCGTTGTAACGGTTGGGGTCTTGCGTCGGGGGCTTGGACTTGTGCCATACGCACGCCGCCGCCTGTTTTGGGGGGGATGACCTGGGGCTTGGGTCTTCCTTCGGGCCAGGAGTCGTGTAGTCTTTTCTCAAAGGCGTTGAGGTTCTCCATGGTTCGCTCGCGAGATTCGAGGCCCTAATAGAGAATGTTAGCGCTGAGACGAGCGGGGACTCTTGGGTATAGAAGTACTTCGTGCTGGAATAGGTGAATGACTTCCAGTGTAGGAATCGATGCTAGACCCTCTTTCTCGGACCACGCTCTGAGGGTCGAGTTGCTGCCACTCCATTGGAGGTGAACCTCACGTAGATGAGTCCCAATCTTGCAAAGTGAGAGGGCATCGAGATCAAGACGTCTCCAGTCAAGGATTTCGACTCCCTACAAGTCATCAGTAAGTGCCAGTTACTGGGATCTCCCAAACTTACAAGATCCTTCAAGCACTCTTCGATCGCCTCGTCACTATGCGAAGGCTTTTCCATATCCTCTACAACAACCTATTTCGTTATTAGTAAGAGAAGTTAAATGTGGTCTCGCGTCTCTCACCTTGATGATTCGAGTCACCGACTTTCCTCGCAGCCAATCAAAAAAGAATGTCATATCCTGAATCTGTCAGTGCAAGTATCTAACAAAGTCAGAGTTTCTCACCTTTCTTCCTTGATGTCTCACATCGGGCTGTTCTCTACCCCCCTTGAGACGAACCCTTGGAAACCCAACATACTGCAGCGCCGTGTCGAACTGCAAATGGCCAAAATACTTCTTAAAGTCATCTTGGCTGACTGTGTTGGGCGGCCCAAAGTCAAACCAAAATTCTTTATCCGGATCATCTGGTAATCTCAGACTATCCGCTGCTTTCTCTGGACTTAGTTTTCGTAAAGTCTGGAGTTTTAGTAGGTTGCTAATCGTTCTCGCTGCATCTTCCATCTCCTTCTCCTTCGACCCCGACTTTTGCACAATGTCTGATCGAGCTGCTGTCCCTGTTTTTACTCGAGTAATTGGCGTCAAGGACGGAGATTGCACTGGAGTTGTAGCACCTTGTGGAGTTGCAGCAATGGAACCCCTTCGCTTCACGCCTGGCGGAGGGCCCATGCTTGTCTTTTCCGAGCCTGACTTTTCCGTCCTCGTCACGACCCTCTTTGCATCCTTCTTTGGATCGACTCCTCTTTCATGCTTGTGCTCTACTCTTCTTGGGGCTGCTGCTGGCTCTTGGATGGCTAGATCTTGGGCGCGTCGTCGTCGACTCTCGAGGAACTTCTTCCGGGTATGATGGTGGTATTGGTAGACTGACAAAGTACGATTGAAGTCATCTGGATCTTGAATAGGCTCATCCAAGAGGTCAGGACATGAGCGTAGGATCTCCTTGACCACTTCGACTTGACTGTTGCAGCAGCACTCATACTCGACCGCACGGTGAAGGGCGGTGCGCCGTTTTGTGTCTCGTACAAGGAACATGTCTCTAGGTACGAAGCCACAAATCTTGGTAAAGAACTCTGTTCTCTTGTCTCCATTGTCAAAGATACAAGTCGCAGCGGCGTGCAAGCACGTAGTCTCACTGTTCTCGTCCCAGTTCTCATATCTCTTCTGCAACAGAGCATTATACTCCTGACATGTTGCATCCTTAATCTTCAAGCATACCGACCAGCCAAACAGCGAGTTATTCGCCAATAGTGCGCTGGTCAGAGGAATGCGCTTGTTGTTGTCCGGCGACCAGAGCAGATGCGCCGGGAGCTTGCGAATGGCTCGCCACATTAGCCATTGGAGGTTGACGGGCGGTTTGTGAATCCTGTGGTCGTAGTCTGCCAGGAAGTGAAGAAAGTTCTTCCCCTCCTCGGTTGTGTTGTGCCATTCGCTGAACCTGTCGTTAACAAATTTGAGTTGCTGGCTTGCTTTGTCACTTGATTCAAAGGTTTGTAGGTTGTTGGATAATATTCGTGCCTCTTCAACGTGTCGCTCAAATTTGGCTTTGACGGGATCCTCGTCTAGTAGTGTTACGGACGCGGCTGGGAACTCATCTTCGTCCAGGTAAACTTCGTCGTCATCTTCTTCGTGCGCTTGGGAGAACCCATTGGTAACTTCATCGTTGTGATCCATTCTGACTCGGCACTCACTTGCAAAAGGATTTGCAATTGGAAGATGAGAATGAACGAGTAGGTAAATTACCTGCATAAGTTAGAGCGGGTTTGTCAACAGAACAGGCCGGCAGCAGGGATTATCAGCCTCCTCTTGGGCATATCCACCTAATTCCTGATTATTGGCTCGCGAACCGCCCATGAGTCTCTCCATGGTCAGCATGTGCCACTCGCTGCGGGGCGATATGACCTTGGTGCTAGGGACCCTTGCAGGTGTCCTCCAGATCGAAGACCTTTGTAACGTAGAGGAAGGCTTCGTTGGAAGATAAAGGGCTGAATCGTCGTATTGAATCAGACACTTACAGCTCTTCACAGTACAGATCAGAAACTTGACAGCGATGACAACCTTGGAAAGTTACGATCAAGCAGCGGAACCGCTCTTGGTCTTCGAAACACCCTTGGAGCACCAGGTCATCGGTGAAGATGACACTGTACGAACTGAAAATGCCTCGATGAGCGAATGGGAGAGGCGCAACATCATTGAGCGCACCAGCGGCAGTATCCATACTCGGGTTGAATTACTGTCAGTCACTCACGGATCATACAGCGAAGGAGGAGACAGGGCCACGCTCATGGTCTTCCGTTTCCGTTTCGACCCTCAGAAGAGGTCACGAAGGGTCATCCGAGCCAAAGTCGAAATCAACTTCTTTCCCACGGACGACTCGTATCTCGAGGTCGATGCCATCGCGCCCGAGGAACGCTGGACAGTGGTACCGACCACAGACACCGAGACGACAACGCGCAGCGGACAGTTGAACCTGGGAGCTTCAGGCGTGCCATTCCTCGAGGCCGGTGCTACAGCGAGTCTCGAGAGATCGTACAGCAGGGACGTCAGCGGCGCAACCACCATTACAGGCAGTATCAACCTCAGCGTCGGGAAGAACTCGGGCGAGTCTACAGTGGCAGTGTGGAATCTGCAGGAGAACGAGCGCCGTAAGACGGGCGTGCCGGATTCAGTAACGACTGCGATTCTTGTGCGACGAGCTGGAGATGAGCGGTTTAATGCTGAGGTTACGCTGCAGGCTGACGTTGACTGGGTCACTGGGTGGGAACGCAGACTGTCCAAGATTCCATTGGATGATCCGATTCTTTTCAACCCGCAAGAGACAGGGGGGCCTGGTAAGAAGGGGAGGTCTCATGGTGCCAAAGACTTGGCGAGTGTTGATTTGAATGAATTGTGCAAAGTGAGAATGGCAGTTGAGGCTCCATTTGCTGTTAAATAAGGCTCTGCAATGGATGTTTAGTGCTATATTTATTGATTCTGTGCAAGTAATCATTCTATCAACTCACTCATGTTGCGTAGACCGTCGGCCCGTGCCCTAGGGCAGGTTATGCATGTAAGATACAGGGATCATGGTGATATGTGCACCTCGCAAGCTAGTCACACTGATTATCTGCAGCCGCCTGGTGGTATGACCGTGCTTAGTGTACCTCCCCCTCTTTGGAAGGACAATCTCTTGTTCATCCTTTGTGAGGCTCTGACAGTAGGCTCTGAGTGCCCAGCGATACTCGATTTGCGTTATTGGCATCAACCAGCAGGGTTGGAGGCTCTGTTTTTGTTGGCACCATGGTCGAGATAGTGGTTCCCGAGACGGAGAAACCTACTCTGGAGGTTCACACAGCAGTGGATGAGAGCCACGATGAGAAGTCTCACAAGTGTAAGTCACCAAAAGAAGTCGCATCATGGCTATCGTATTATCCTGACAGCTTTGCAAAGTCGGCTTGAATGTAATCCAAGAGGGAGAACAGGTTTCGATTGTTGACGACGCTTCGAATCACGACATTTCAGTTGCCCCATTTGAGTGAGTATTGGCCAATTGATTCTTGAATAATACTGACTACATGGCTTTCTAGTGTTGTTCTTATTCACGGAATCTATGGTTCAAGTCCAGATTCGTGGACAACAGGATCAGACACAATATGGATCAACAAAGCCCTCGCTGGGGCATCAGAGAACAAAGGACGAATAATGTCCTACGGCTACCATACTGACGTTGAAAATGGGAGATATTACACGCCTTGCGGTGTTTATCACGAAGCGGAAGCACTATTGGAAGCTCTTCGACAGTTTAGAACATCCGACATCACGGTTTGCCACCATTGTTCGTTTTTCTGACGCCACTGATCAATGTCTCAAAGGTGGCTAGACGACCGATACACTTCTTTTCTCACGATGTTGGAGGGACTATCGTGAAAGCGGTAAGACAATTCGTGGAGCAGCTGGCTAGAGCTTCCGCTAATGGATACAGGCACTGGCGATGGCTTCTGATGACCAAGACAAGTACGGCGATATCCTATATTGCACACGTGCTATGGTGAGAAGCCTAGATCGAGTTTAGTATCTAGGTTCTGCTGACTGAGGCATGATAGTATTTCTTCGGCTATCCGCATAGATACTCCTCGCTTGGCCTCTTGGAGGAGGCTATACTGCGATTGATGGCCCAGCAACAACAAAAATGGTCCGGTCATATGGTTGGGTACGCCAAAGGTCTCACAGAGACGATAATAAAAGTGAACGATGCGTTTCTTGGGACTCAGATGCTTACTCAGGCCAACTTGATCAACGTGGTCTCCAACCTCCACTTGGACACAGCACAACAGGTTGGTGTACCAACACTTGAAGATCCATGGAATCACTGGTTGCTAATATAGGTGAAAGGTATTTCCTCTTTGTATGTCAACTATGGCCACTCCGTTTGAGCGAGTGGTGAAGATGGAGAAAGCAAACTGTGATTTGATCGTGGCAGGAGAAGATGGGCTCCATCTGGTGAATGATCTCGCAGACGGAGACTGGCTAAGTAGGTTCTTCATTGACCAGAAGACGCTCGCTAATATCGCTACGAGTGGGGGACTTGACAGGCGATCAGCATGCCGCTCTTCGTAAGATGATCAGTCAAGCCTCCCCTGTACAGCCATACCACAAAATCGAAGAGGACTGGCAAAACTCAGACCTCCTAGAATTGCCAAAGCGAAAAGAAGCGCTCATAATGCATATGAGATGCTCCTCTGCTACCGAAGCAGAAACAGAGAATGCAACCTACTTTCTGGACAAGAACAGAAGCGGCACATTCGATCCGTTGCTGTACATGAAATTCGACGCTGATGATATCCGCTTCAACAACTGCGACGCTATGATGCGGACATTCCTTGCCCGCTTTCTAAGCAATAGAATAAATACTGGTAGCTTTGTGGAGAGGCCGTTGGACGCACTTGTCAAATGCGAAGCGCTGCATCGAGCCAATCTGTTCGCCGAGCTGTGGGATATACAGGGCACAAAGGGTAAGTCTGGCCAGACGGGAACGATTAATTTGAGAATCTAACTTATTACAGCTTTGCAGGCGGGTATCTACGTCCTGGGGTGTCTTGATGAGTGCGACGAGTCTTCGATGTGGTTTCTTTCCGAGATTTGTAAACTTCTTTCCAGGAGTGAACATTGTTTTAGGATGCTGGTAACCACCACAAAGGGAACCCCTGGAGACTTGGATATTACCTCCATGCTCGCCAGGTTCCCTGAAGAGCTTGTCAAAACCATGGAATGCTCTCCCAAACCGCCTACGCCATTTCCTGTCAAGACTAGGGCATCCCAAGTCATAACTAAGCTAGGGGCATGTGTTGGGTCTGACCTGTATCGAGATGTACAATGCATACTCTCTAGTTGTGGGGATGACTATGATCTGGGCGAGTTGGTCATCGAATGGCTTGGAGCGGATACAAAAAACATCGTGCGTGCCAAAAGAATGCTCGACAAAACACTCACGCCATCTCGAGTGTTTGCGGAGATACTTGAAGACATTACCGAGGATCTTCGACCCTGGGCCAACCTTTTGCTGTGTTGGCTTCTAGTCTGCGAAAGGCCTCTACGATATGAGGAGCTATATCGTATCTCTGACATCGTGTGGCTTTATCTGGGGAGAAGTGAAACTACAAGGCCGGCTTCAGTTGATATTCTGTGCCATTTCCCTGGGCTGATCACTTCTGTGAATGGGGAGATCAGATTTAGACACCCTGCCACCCGCTCATGGTTCAAAAGCCAGTGCTCTACTGGAAGTGAAGAGACATGGTATACTACACATAATCTTGTGTGCCATGTGATGGTGCTTCAGACTTGCATAGCCTATATCCAGGATGCAGCTGGCAGGCCAGAAGACGCTGTCCAATCTATTCCATATGTGATCGAATTCTGGCACAAGCATTGGCGGTTGACAGAGACATCCGAAGCACAGATCATAGGCTTGTTTGAGAACGAACTGTTGTTTCAATTCTGGACAAAATCACTATTCGCTTTACCCCATATTCAACAGAAGCCTCCCCCAGCACATGTCAAGCCTCTTCCTGTTGCAGCCCACTTGGGTCTTGATGAAGTTGTAAAGGTGCTACTCGAGAGAAATAAAGACATCGTCGATGACAGAGGCCAGGCATTGATCGAGGCTTGCAGAGCCGGCCATCGTCCTGTCATCCGGGATCTCCTAGGCTCATACTCAGATGGTATAGACTTTGGAGATCAGAATCTACATGAGGCTGCCAGAGTTGTCAGCCATTCATACAATGATGAAGCACTCGGGGAATTTGTAAAGGGGCTGCCTGAGTCTCCCAGTGCTTGGGCGGCGGCAAAAGACACTGAAGTGAATCTCAAGGACATAGAGAATCAGGAGAGGAACCGTCAACAAGAGCCTGCATCGGACGAGACGACAAGTAACGATCACGAGGCTACAGAACTTGAGCCTATTTCCGACCCATACGACTGGCTCATGATGCCAATGCATAGAGCCGTCAAGTCAGGAATGATTGACGTGGCCAGCAAATTACTAAGAATAGGAGTAGGGCCTAACCCCCCGAAGGGGACAACCCCCAACGACAGTAGCTTTATCTACACGACATTGGCCAACTCCCATCTCGAAGTAGCCAAGCTGCTCGTAGAGGCAGGAGCAAGTCCAACAGCCAAGAATGTGCATGGATACACTCCGCTACATGTAGCCACCCGGTGGTCTTCTGGCGAGACGGTCGAGTTCTTGCTCTCATGCGGCGCTTCCATCGCGGACAAAGACTCGGCGGGCCGCACAGCCTTGGAAATAGCTGCTATATGGGGAGACTTCACTACGCTCGAGGTCATGCTCTCGCGCAAAGAGGAGATCGAGCGCATGTTTCATGAGCCGGACCTGCACCCGGTGAATCTAGCGGTCGAATACGAGAACAAGAAGTGTCTGGCACTTCTTCTCAGTCACGGCCTCAACCCTAATGTTGCCACCTCGAAGGGAGACACGGCGTTGAGGATGGCGATTCAGAACAGAAGGCTTGATCTCTGCAAGATGTTACTGGAGAGCAATGCTGATCCGGATCTGACGCCCGATAAGGCTAACACGCCTCTGATTCAGGCCATTTCCGAGGGAGACTTGGATATAGTCAAGCTGCTCATCGAGAATAAGGCCACTATAGACAAGCGTGAGGCGCCACCGGATGATGGATGGTTACGCACACCGAGTAAGTATTTGATACGACCAGAGAGGTAAATTACTAACCTGTTATAGTGCAGGTAGCCGTTGACTGGGACCGCCCCGAGATTGTCCAGTATCTTCTTGAAAAGGGAGCAGACCCCGATGCGCGAGATTCTGACGGAATCCCAGTGATAGGCTCTGCAGTAAGCGGCGGGCATATAAACATGGTGCAGTGGCTAGTAGATGCGAATGCAGACGTGAACGTCAGCTACTACGATAACAAAGTGACGCCGTTACATGAAGCTTGCCCCCACCCTGAGATCGTTCGTCTCCTTCTCGAGCACGGCGCAGACATCAACAAGGGCAACGCAGACTCACGAACAGCACTGAACCTTGCCATCTGTGCGAATATTATCGCGACTGTTCAGGTTCTTCTTGAGGCCAAGACTAAGCCTGATATCAATGCAGACACGATCTACTGGGACTTACTCACAGTGATACCTGTTGGGTACATTGACGTTGTTGAGACGATGCTCGAAGCTGGCGTTGACGTTAACAATGTCAATGAGAAGGGTGAATCGTTGCTGGCATATGCTATCAAGTTTAATGCGCCCAGTGGTATGATCCGCAAGATTCTCGAATACAATCCTGATCTAGAAATGAGGGATAAGAAGGAGAATACAGCACTCCACTGCATCAGCCGATTAACCACCCTCGAGACAGTCCGGCTTGTCGTCAACGCTGGCGGAAGACTAGACGTGTTGAACTCCGATAAGGACACGCCGCTTATTGTTGCTATTGGAGCTCAGATGGATGATGTGTTCTTCTACATGCTAAAAAAAGAGCCTTCACTGCTGACGCAAAATTTCATAACGTCTCAGCAAAGAGTCACGGCGCTTCATGAGGCGTGTAGGTTTGGGTCACTTGCCATGGTTCGATCACTGATAGAACATGGCATGGATATTAATTCATGCTGCGAAGGACTCTATGGAACACCCTTGATCTCGGCGACACTCCGGAGCGATCTGTTATCATCTCCCCTAGCTAGCGACATAATCGCTCTGCTTCTCGTGAATGGAGCCAGCCCAAGCACGAAAGGAGGTTTATTCTCATACCCTCTCATCTCAGCATGTCTATCATGCCCAGCAGATACGATCAGACTTCTTATCAACTCCGATACATCGGCCGAAGATGAAGATTATGTGCGGCGCAAGCCAGTCCATCTGGCGTGCTATAATTCTCTCGCGGTTCTCAATCTTATAGAAGCTCCTGACTCCCATTTTGCGGTTACGGATGTGATTGGTCGAGTACCTCTGCACTATGCTGTCATGACAGGAGACGTTGAGCTGGTGGAGGTGGTGCTCGAGCGCTCTGAAAGGGTTGGCATTAGCATTGATGTGAAGGACGACGATGGGTGGACACCACTGCTCTGGGCTGCTCGTGCGGCACGGATCTGGAACCGACAGATTGAAACCGGATATTCAAGAAGTGATATAATATCGTTTCTCTTGAAACACGGAGCTGACCCTACGATCAAGGGGTGCGGTGTTGACAGAGATTGGACAGTCTGTGAAGTGGCATACTATCACCACGCCGACTTGTAAGCACTCCCTGATATTCCACTGACAAAGACTAACCTTTTCTAGCATCGAAGATCTAATAGATCAACCAAGTAACAAGAAGATCAGGTCCAGAAAACGAGGAACCGCCCCAGGCGCTCAAGTCAACACAAACGCCTACTGTGATTGCTGCTTGATTGAGTCCCAAGGTATTTTCTTCGACTGTTCACTATGTTTCGACTTTAGTCTCTGTTTCAAATGTCATAGGAGCGCTGATAAGATACATCCTGAACATTCGTCGTTTGTTCGATGTGGGAGTGAATGGGTTGAAGATGAAGTTGCTAAGGATGAGGATGTTCAGGAGATTAGTTTGGATGATGGCATGGGAGATCAGGATGTGTTGTTGGATCTTGAGGAGATACCGTATGAGGATTTCGCCAGTGAAGTCTCAGAATAGATTTGTTCGCAGTCTTACATCTGTTAAGTATGTCCCAATTTGACTTGACAAGAGTTTCTCGGATAGTGTTCTTCGCGGCCTAGCAGATTTGTGAATCTTGGCAGGTGGTGCATGTGCTGTTATAGTGAGCATGCTCAATCAAACTCAGATCTATTTGTCTATCCTTTACAAGCTTGAAGACCTTTCCGTATCGGAAATCTCCTTCTGCAACCACTCTCTCCACCCAGCATCTTTAAGAATATGCCTAACTCTCGCCTCAAGCCATTCGGTGTTTCCCCAGAATCCCCACGATGCTTGGAAGCGACACCAATCAACAAGCGCACACTCCCAATGCCGAACAAGAGTATCCCAATCATAATCCAAGTGCTCCTTATCAGAAGGTCGACGGCTCAAGAGTGTCTCATGGTAGAGGTACAGTAAAGCCTTTTCACCACGATCCATGACCATTTCTTGTGGTAGAGATGGACAGTCTGTTAGCATATCGAGAGGGACAGAGCATGTAAACAACTTGGCCAAATCGCAGACTCCCAGTCCGAGTCCAACGTACTGAAAGTCGAAGAAGCAGACATCATCTCCTAGCTCGGTAGTAAAGAGATTCTCAGACTTGACATCGCCATGAATCAACGTCTCAAAGGGTCGACCAGTTGGTGTGAGAAAGTCAGCTACCACTTCAGCAGTAGATTTATCCGATCCTTTAAAAGGCGCGCAAAAAGCATCTGACCACTCAGAGTATGTATCACCAGCAAGGGACTTGTACTCTGTCCGTCGAGTCGCGAGATAAGTGTATCCTCCATTCAACCATAACTTGCTTCCACCAGCTTGACCGGCATCTCGTCGCTTGAACTCGTCCAGAGGAGGGAGGAGATAGTCGTCCAATTTCGCAGGTAGAAATTTCCACGAGTTGCTGTGAAATCTGGCGAGCCATTCTAGAGCAGACTCAACTTGTCGCGGATTCAGAACAGATCTCTTCCCTCCTTCTACGGGGAACTTGACTCTCAAATCGGTAAGAATGGTAGCAGTGAGACCTCTCAATTCTCCATCATCGTGCTTCGACTTCCAACTCGATGTCAGACAGTGAGCTACTGCAACGTCATCATCCAACTGAGGAGCAACATGTTCGTAGAAATACTGCTCAACATCGTAGCTCAGTATCTTGCGCAGATGGCCTTCGTCAGTAGGGCCAGGCGGTGGCGATATTAGCTTAAGAATCAAGAAGAAGGTATTGTTTGACTCGGCTGCATGCAGATACTTGCGCACTCTACCAGCAGTTTCGGCGTCCTTTGGTTTCGCGGTGAGAGCGCAGATATGGCCGTATCCAGCCCAAAGGGATTGAATCTCCTGGAAAGATGTGATCTTCAAGCCTGTAGGCTCCAAAAGGACCTCGGCGACACGTCGGGAGCTTGTGTCTGCCATTTTGAGTTTGAAGTGAGGTTATCACGAAGTTAGAAATGAATCGCTAATCTACGTCATTGGAGCTGAGCAAATCGGCTCGGATTATCATTTCGGAGCGGGGCATTTGCACCTGGAGGCCTCGGTTCGATGGCAATGCTACGTGAAGTTACAGTCGAGGCGAATCGAGCTGCAAAAGGATGGTAATTGTAGAAATACCTACTCAATTGAGCGATATATGCGAGGAGGAACTACCATAGCCTCATTGATCCATGCTCTGATACGGAGGATGCCTAGCGAAATGATAGGGCTGAACAGCGACATCCTACCAAGATCCCGCAAAGGCATGGCGGTGAACATCGGGGAATAGGTAATTGATTGACGTAGGCTATGCACACCAACCGAGGAGCTATTCACAAGGTCCCTATATCTATGCCTCTCAATGGACAACAGACAGCCACGTCGACAACCTTGGTCCGGCCATCGCAGAGACGGGCTACCTCAATTCCATCATCTGGGGATCAATTCCCCCTTTCATACCACGCCTCTTTTGAAATGCCATAACGGGATGGTAGTGGCTGCGGAAAAACAAGCATAAACTGCCACCAAACAAGCTTGTTAGACGAGATGATTCACTCGCTTACCCCTGTCCCCCAGGGCTGAGCTGTAAGCAAGGGTTGCCAGTGGCGTTGCAGGGGAATGTCACAGATTATTGGACGACGTGGTTCCTGGAGGATTATGAGGTTGAATTGGGTTAGGGATAAATATTCACTCATTTCCCGACTTCTGCAGACTTGAGTTTTCTCAACCAGACAAACACCATTATGCGGACATCATTTACTATCAGTCTCCTCGCTGTCGCGCCATATTTGGCTGAAGCCGCAAAGAGCACTACCAAGTACTCTACTGAAACCGTCTTTCTACCCCAGAGAAAGACTGGAAGTGCAACGAATATTTACGCCTCCCTTATTACAGAAACCGGCTCAAAGACAGAATATCTCCTCGCCTGTCAGACAAACTTTGGCACTTCATACTCTTGCGATGGAGACTTTCACGGTATTACTGTTACTTACCAAGAGTCGAGCATGAATCTTGCTGTCAGCTCAACAACATACGACTGCTCCCTGGGATCTGGCTCAGCTGTTTGCGCAACCATTACTGCAACCCAGACTGAATCCGTGCAGTCGCGAACCATTCCTTCGTCGGAGAGTGAGCGCTGGATGACGCCTATCACTTTCGTTGATCTTGCGAAGAGAAAGACTCCTAGTACCAAATCTACTGCTTCGAAAGCAACGGAGACGGCGAGTAACAAGCTTTGCAAGAGGAAGACTCCCCATGGAAGTTCGGACTCCGGGGACAGTGGAAGCAGTGGTAGTAGTGGAAGTAGTGGCAGCAGTGGTGATGACAGCAGTGGTTCCAGCAGTGGTTCCAAGAGCGGTTCGGGATCTGCTGCCGATGATGATGAAGACGATAGCGGTAGTTCATCCGCGAGCCCTACCAAGAAGAAGAACAATGATGACGATGGATGCTCAGCTGGGTCAATTACTTCTTGGAGCTGGGGAGTTATGGCTGTTGGGCTGGGCGGTTTCCTTGGTGTGAACATGGCATAAGATATGCCAATGTGTTCTTTTCATTACTTCACTTGTATATATTCTGGAAATAACATATCAACCGCATTACCGCGGGACTTTTGAAATAAGATCCCTCAATTCTATTACACTAGTAGGCCGTGCACTGTTTAGTGTATACGCGCCGCCTAATAGGTTCTGATGCTAGATGAAATCGAACACGTCTCATGTCGATCATATCAAGTTCGGTGTTCAGAGCGTTTACGGAGTAATTCAAATATTCACTGATCAGCGCTCACGGTTCATTCAATACCAACTCCTGAGTAACAATAGTAGCGCTCACGCTACGTAACAGCACAACACCCGCCTTGAATCATCCTTCTAGGTCCCGGTGGCGGCGACGGCCCTCTCGCTGGAGCCCCAAACTGCGCAATACGCACCGGATACCCTGGATTTCTCCTCAAAAAGTCCAACGGATCATACATCGGCTTCGTCACCATCGCCAACACCTCCTCATAATAATTCAAAAGCGGCACGAACTGTTTTGTGTGTGTGAAGCATCGTTTCTTGCATCTATCCGCCGGATACGCGTCCACGTTGCACTTCGTCTGTACCCCGTTTCGCATCCGTTTGCTGAAGAATCTCTTTTGGTTATACCTCCAGAAGTCAATGACGTGGACTTGGAAGTTGTATAGATCATATGCTGCGAGGCTTTCGTAAGTCCAGCGCGGTTGCCATGGACTTTCGGGGCCTTCGGCTGTGGGACCGTAGGGATGGGGAACTGTAGAGGCGAGGCTGAGATCGATGAGGACGCCGTCGATGTACTGATCTGGTTTCAAGTCGCGAACCACTATGCCCAGAAAGTGAAGTTTATGGAGATCTTTGAGCATTCTGGCGAAGTACTTCACGGCTACCATCTGGTCGTAATTGGCGCGTTGCTTCGAATCGTGATACGGAGTCAGTTCGACCCAGTCCTTGACAATGCCGTAGAGTATTCCAGGAGGAAATCCGGTCAACTTCTCCGCGCCCGCAGCAGCGAGTTTTCTTCTAATCTGTTTTGCCGTGAGAGAAACCCATCCGTAGACCTTGACAGCAATGGACTCGGCTCTCTCCTCCTTCAGTCTACCAAAAGCTCGACACTCGTTCTCAAACGGTGAGAAATACCAGTCGAAGCCATCACAGCAGCTCCACGATCCCTTGTGGCCGTAGATATCTCTGGTGTTAATTTCTGGTGGAGGGTCGAGGAACTGCAGGCCATTAGGATAATTTACTAATAAAGGTCGATAGGGACGTACGAATTTTATGGCGTAGAGATGGCGACCGATGCGTGCCTTGACGATGGTGCCATGGGAAGAGTCACAATCGAGGGCTTTGAGGAATAGGACATTAGGGTCCATCAGATTGCCGTCGAAGGGAGGGAGTTTTGGCCCTATATCTTGGGGCAGCCAGGGCTTCTCCTTCACCCAGTTCTTTGCCATGGCTTATGGCATAGAGGTGAGTGCCAGTGGAAGCTGGTTAGCTAGCCTGTTGGACGCCGTCGAAGTGAAGGTATTAAGCATCGCAAGGGGATTTACAGGGGAATTTTGAAATTCGTCTTGTGGAGGGCATTCAACTGTAATTTGTCCCAGTATCAAAGTTTAAAGAAGGTTCTTTTATCTGGGTTATCTATATGGAAGATTTAGGTTGAGGCAAGGCTCTTAACAACAGTTCTAGCGATATTCTAAGGATTGAATCCGGCTTTCAAGTGCGGCAGCATTGATGACATCTTCCCGAACAATTTTAAGAGGAATACCCTCGTGTATTCTACGTCCCAGAGATCTTGAGATGCGTCTCAAGATGCAGTGCTTGATGAGCGCGTTCATGGTGCCACGTGAGTTTAAACTCAAACCGTTAAGCCAATTTATGATGCCACCAAGCGCATTCGCTCGTTATGATATAAAATTCTCTATCAAAGCCTCACATGATGACACATGTCCAGAAGTCTTCGTGGTCATTCGGCATACGAAAAGCTCTGCATCCGACCCCATTACCTGAGTAGTTGGGCACCGCCCTGAGCTCCATCATGAAGGCTGATGTAACTGTTTTAAAACCTATGCAAAACTTCCTTTGGCTGTAAGTCCTCTCGGAAAAGTCTGCAATGACGCAAGTGAGCAATGGCTGCGCCGCTCAGCAGGCACGTGTCATCAATCGCGACAAAAAGATAAGCGAAGTATCTTACTCCAGCGTCATCCTTTAACTTCACCTTACCGACTCATTCACAAGTCCCAAACAACTTAAAATGTCAGAAGCAGTTTACTCAACGCCAGAGTGGTATCTCAAAGCTCAGGACCAAGACGTGAGCAGTGACATAGGCCGGCTGACCATTTATCATCTCGGTTTCAAGCAGGCAGCAGAGGGGAAATTAATATTCGCGCCGATTGATTTCTCGACACAGCCTCGAGCTATACTCGATGTCGGGACTGCGGATGGTCTCTGGATGCGCGATGTTCAGTCCTCAATTCCTAGGCCAGCTCAAGGTGAACATACCTTCATCGGCACTGATATCAACACTTCTTTCTTTCCAGCGACGACCACGGATGGGATCAGTTATGTAAAGCAGGATATCAAAGATCCTCCACCAGGATCCTGGCATGAGTCTTTCGATCTCATCAACATGCGCATGATTCTCATCGCCGCTGGTTCCAGCTCATCTCAACGTACTGTGGTGAATGATCACATCAGACTTCTCAAACCAGGCGGATGGATCCAGATCGGCGACTGTGATCGTATCTGCCCAACTCCCGAGACTGAAAATCCAAGGTATCACGACATGTTTGCGTGTATCAGAGCCGTCTGCCAAGCCTCACGTTTAGATCCTCTCGAAGCACCAAAGATGAAGTCTTGGTTGGTTGAAGCTGGGCTGGAGGACGTACAGGAAATGACGGCTATGAGGGGGGTTGGCAAGAGGAATGAGGATGAGGAGCTGGGGAGGTTGGGGGTTGGAGCGGATTTGATTATTGCGAAGGGGTTTGCGGCTGGTGCTAAAGGTGAGTTTCTTAAGATCTTGGAGATGCGGGCTAACGTGATTAGGGTTGAGTCCTTCTTTGAAGCCGTTGCCGGACGAGAGGTTGGATAACCTTGTGGGTGATCTGGAGACCGAGTTAAAGGATGTTGGGGCGTATTTTCCTATGCGCTTCATTTGGGGCCGGAAACCGCTGTAAGATAATTCGGTGCCATGGTTATGGTTAAAGAGCACTTGATATGAATGTTAAATTATAGTACTTTGTTGTATTTATCTTCAATTCCAAGTAAAGGCGTCCGTCTTGGCTCGTCAATATTCAGACTCTATAAAAGAAGAAGTACATGGAAGAAAACTACTCCGGTCAATTAGAATACAGACATCAGTTTTGTCTAAAGATAATCCAGTAAGCTAACCTAGAGGTTTGAGATACTACAAAGCAGATCCTTCCCACAACGTGGACTCTTCTCATTTAGTTTTCATAGTAAAAGTCATCTAAAACTCAAACAATTCTATTGGGTCTGGTTGTGGCTTCGTGAGTCATGACAGACTTATCATGAACTCTCCAACCTTGAGGTGATCGGAAGCAAACACCGAAACGCTAGCGCAAAGAGACCCACATCCATACCAACATTTCAGCACTGTCAGTCAAATTTAGTGCATGATCCTCAGGCATTTAGAAGCCCCCGAAACCTTCTAACGCCAGCCTAACAGTGGGCCACGTGGGGACTCTACTAAACTTATCAGCAAGATTTTTTTTTTTCATTCACGATAGCTTCAAGTTTCGGGCTTAGACCTATTTCAAGATAGCGTCCCGCCACCCACTTTAATATTTTTCTTCCTTCTCTTATCTTTTCTTCTCTCCCCGGATTTCTCTCCACGATCTTTCATTTTACAGACTGGGTTAAGATGAGCACCATTGCGCTGCCTTCGAGCAGCTTACCGCCTTTGTTCACGCTCTCTAAAATCACGGAATCAGAGGTGTTTAGCGCATTGCATTACTTGGCGGCTATTTACTGTCCTTTATCGTTTCCTTTTTCGAAGGAGTTGGGGGATGTGAAGCATGGGTTTGCGGAGGTGGATTCGGGATATACCTCCGGCAACGAGGACGATGAGGCTGAACTGACGCCTGCGACGATTCGTGCGGATGTTCACGAGAAATCATTTACTGAGCGCTGGTTGACAGGACTCATCTCGCGCGTTGAAAGCCTGGAAATCTTTTCATCGGAGGAGGCGAGTCAGCGGGCGCTAGACCAGGCGGCGTATATTTTTGAGTCATTGTTTGCCAGTGCCTTGGATGAAGATGACCAGAACTCGCCGTTTTTGAGAGAGTTTTCATTTGAGATGAGCCTTCCTGGCAAGGACAAGAAGCACATTTCTGTTCAACTGAACGATGGACTTGCGGGGACGAACGATACAGACTTTGAAGACGTTGGACTCCAAAGCTGGGGTGCTTCGATCGTGTTTTCGGATCTCATGTGTACAGACCCCGAACGATTCGGTCTGACAAATCTTGATGCTACCAAACATAGTCGCATTATCGAGCTTGGTGCAGGCACCGGGCTCGTAAGCCTTGTCCTCGGAAAGCTCATCCCCGCTCTGGGCATAACCGACTCCAAGATCATCGCAACAGACTACCACCCAGCCGTGCTCTCAAACCTCGAGTCCAACATATCCATCAACTACACCTCCCCCTCCCCCGTGCAAGCATCGCCTCTCGACTGGGCCGATTTCATCAACACCGCCCCCTTCGACATCCCAGCAAACATGCTCTTCGCTACAGACGTTGTATACGCTCCTGAACACGCACGCTGGCTACGCGACTGCGCAACGCGACTTCTCTCAGATGATGGTATTTTCTGGCTGTTAGTTACGATACGGCCTAATGGAAAGTTTGCGGGTATTGGGGATACTGTTGAGGCTGCTTTTGCGGAGAGGGAGAGATTGTGTGGGAGGGATGGAAGGAGGTTGGATATTTTGGAGAGGCAGAAGTTGGATAAGAGGAGTGGTGTTGGGAGGGGTGATGAGAGTCATTATGAGCTTTTTAGAATTGGTTGGGCATAGATATTTGGTTTAGAGGGATTTGCATTAAGCGTGGATAGAGAAGAGTAGACTTTTGATAGATTTAGATATGGCATCATAGACACGACGATAGATTAGATCAAGACTATTTTACGACTCACAATGGGTGCGCTTATTCACGAGTTAACAAGTCTCTGTACTTCTGAGATTAGCGACAGGATATGTTATAAACTGCTTGATTATTTGAATCCAAAGCCATACTGCCATGAGCAGGGTATGTGGTTTGGTGGGGGAGCAGCCGAGCTGTTGGCTTGAAGACATTCCCTCGTCAAGAACACCACGCAACCGACAAAAGATCTCATACAGCTTTCTTTTGAAACCAGCCCTTCCATTCTGACCAACCAACATGCATACCCAAACTCACATTCACTCAAATCCCTCAACGCCCCGACAATTACTCCCACAATGCACTGGCCAACAATCCGAGCACCCAGGATCCGGCTCATCACTCCCCTTATGAATCTCACAATCCGGCACCGTAGCCCTCACAAACTCATGGAGATGATGGTCCGGACCTTCCCCCACCCCGACTTCACAATCGCACAAGACAGTATCATCCTCTCCAGCATCTTCGATATAGTTGACCATTGCCTGCTCATCGTTGACGTAAGCGAAAGCAAAGACGAGTTTTAAAGAGTCGCCATCGTAGTCTTTGTGAAGAATTGCGTTGTCGTAGAGTTTGTTTATGACGCAGAATGTATCGCCGTGTTCGTGGATACTGTCTAGTTCGGCTTTTGCGGCTGTGCCGGTGCGGACTTGAGGATGGCGTTGGAGAAATTCCTCGATGTTCTTTAATGGGGTCTTTGACACGTTCTCTTGGGAAGCCATGTTCAATAGGGTTTAATTAATAAAAGTGTAGGTATTCCTGCTTAATTTCTAGATAAGCATGAAAGTCAGCATGCGTTGGACGTCGGATTGTTTAAATAGTTCTTCAGTCAGACTCACGAGCCGATCATACGCGCCGTCGAATGGCAGGTCAAGAATCGGGCGCTAACTCCACTGGATTTTGTATGTTAGGATTTGGCATGGGCGCTAAAAGCAGAGCCGCGTGCACGTTCTTCCAGCCAGACAGCATGACGAGCTGTGCACATCTTCACGGTACCTTATGAAGAGATGCCAACATTTACAGAGAGCTCAATCACTTGAACCTGACGATCACTTTGAAGCTTCAGATGTAAGAGAGAAGAGAAACACCAAGCAAAATAATAGCATTTCGCAAACTATACGACCGCTAGCTACTGTCACACTGATGTTATTCCTGCCAAAACCAGATCCTCACAGTAGAATCAGCAAACTGATACCTCCACCATCCTGACAAGGGGCTCTAACCACTGTCAGCAATACAACCAGTACACCATAACTCTCAGGTCTTACATCTCTCCTCAAATACGCTCAAACCAAGCCTGAATCATGCCCGACACGCCCGGGAGTCCATACCCATCAGTATCCATAAACACCTTATCCCCACTCCCAAAAACCCTCCACGCCAGCACCTCCAGCCCCTGGTCCTTTAAATCCCCAAACTCAGGAACCGTGTATCCAAAGACCGGAAACTCCGCGAGACTCGGACCAGTGCGGGTAGTAGATTCCTTGGTGATCTTGCCTCCAAAGCGATCAGGCATCTTCTTCATTTCCTCGGCGGTGATGACGACGACTTCGATATCACCGGGCTTTCTGAGGCGAGATTGCGCCAAGGGGATGAGGGCGTAGGTGTTGAGGACGGGGTCGTGCTTCATGACGCGCAGGCTGATGAATTCATTGGAGGATGTTGCAGCGGCGCCGATGGCGAAGCGGAGAAAGGAGCGGAGATAGATTGGGTTGCGCTTGGGGTGGAGGGGAGTGGTGGTGATGGGGGAAGGGGTGGTGAGGGTGATGGAAGGCTTAGGGGCGGTGTGGTCGGTCTCGGTCTGAAGAAGAGGGTGAGGCATGATGGCGATGTGAGTTGTTTTGGATTCTTAATGGGTGTTGAGTTTGTTGTAATGGTAGATGCTGGGTTGGCTCGAGATGGATGGATGGTTTGAGTTGGGATAGGATTCTTATAATGGGCTTAGTTTCTTATTACAGGATATTCTGGAGTGCATAGTAAGTCAGAGTGTTCACTGTTCCGGTGTTGGGACACTGCGAGAAGAGGTTTCTGCCACTGTCGTTCTGTTCGTATCTGACTGCCAGAACGTGCGATTATCTTCATTGTCACTGAGAAGAACAAGCAGAGGGCTTGGCAACAATTAAATCATTATCACCTACATACCGACACTGTCACTTCATCTCATCGCCAATTTAATCGCCCCATCCCCAATGTACGTATCACACCACCGCCCAATCCTCTCAAACATATCAAACCAGAACCTCTGCTGCTCAATCCCATGCCCCTCACCAGGAAATTTGACAAACTCACACTGCAACCCCCAGTGCCTCAACGCTCTCCTAAACCCCTCCGCCTGTGAGAACGGACATCGTTCATCTTTGTCACCGTGAAGAATCAGCATAGGCGGGATAACCATCTCCCCCGTTTCTTTAGCGTGCTTAACTGCAGAAGACACTTCCCAGAGCGCACTGCCTTGCCGATTCCTCGTGTCGTCGCGGTCAAGAGTCCAGATCGTATCTCCGCCGGCGAGTTCGATCTCATATGTTGAGCCAAGGTCAGCTGTAAGCGCAAGACTTTCGATATCGCATACTCCTGCTCCTGCGATAGCTGCATTGAAGCGCCATCCAAGACCATGAAGACCATTGCGAACACTGCACAGATACGTCAAAAGACCACCTTGGCTCCAACCCCCAACAATCAGGTTTTTCGGATTCGCAAAGCCCTTCTTGATGGCGTTATCGGTGATGGCCACTACATCAGCGTAGTCATACTTCCCCTGTCCTCCCATACTGTACGAAGCGAATTTCTCACCGCGCCCGCTTGAGCCGCGATATTGAGGGAGGAGAACGCCGTAGCCTTTTGAGAGGATGTACGGCGCCCAGTTGAAGCATGTTGTGTCAAAGCTATCGGTGTCGCGAGATGTTGGACCGCCGTGGATGAGGACGAATGTTGGGAGGGGCTTTTTGTTGGGGTTTGTTGGGGTGAGGTAAAGACCGTCAAGTTCGACTTCATCGTCGGTGGATCGGCAGGTAAGGACTGTGCATGTACCGAGGGACTTGTCTGCGAGGGGCTTCCCATGGTTGGAGATTTTGATCTCCTGCTTATCTTTCTCGATGACGAAAATATCATACGGAGTTCCAACATCTGACAAACTTGCTGCTAGAGTTGAAGTACAAGTCTCTGGGTCGATGAAAACATCATATACCCAGAGCTCCGTCTGCTCATCGAAAAGATCATCACCTCCAAGTTCACTGATGACATCGACAAACCTAATCTGGCGATTCACGAGGACCTTGCCACCGACGACATGAAGACCTCCAGCATCATCATCAACACCACATGCAACCTTTACGAAGTCGTGAGTATCGGCATTGGGATCAGTCTTGTAAACCGCCCTTCCTCCAGAGTCTTTATCCACAGGTACACCAGTGATGAAATAGATCTGCCCATCAGGCGCCCAGGTAAGATCATACGGCTCATTCATGATCTTACAGAGCTCTGTGACTTTGCCAGTCTCAACATTAACCGTCGAGATGGTCGTGCCTGTCAGCAACGCCTCTTCGATGTGAGGGTTCTCCTTACTCATGAAAGCAATTTCCTTGCCATCAGGACTCCAACAAAACTCGCCGACGTGAGTTTCGCCACCAACGAGAACCTTTGTATCTCGAGATTCTACATCGACGAGTCTCAACCTCGCGAAATCCCACTTCTCGCCCCAGACTTCAGGATCAGGCTCATCCTTCTCACTCTTCTCCTTCTCCTCCTCCGATTTCTCATCCGGCGAAACATACGCAATGGTCTTTCCATCAGGCGAAAACGAAAAAGTCTCAATATCCTCCTCATTCTCAGCATCAGTTATAGGAGTCGCATCACCACCGTCCATTCTGAGCATGTAGATCGCCGAGCTCTCACCAACTTTCGCACGATCTGACAGAAACGCAATCCTGTTTCCGTCAGGATGCCATTTTGGCGAAGTGTCGTTGAAGAGGCCGGAGGTAAGTTGACGAGATGAGTTTGGTTCGGCAGATGATGCGATCCAGAGTGTTGAGAGGGCGTTTTTACCTTTGCGATGGCCGCCGATCAGACTGGTGGAGTATAAGAGCTGTTGGCCGTTGGGAGAGAATTTGATGGCTTTGGGGACTTGGAGATCACAGAGGGTTTGGGCGAAGGCTTTGTCGAAGCCTGGAGTTGTGGATTGGGCCATGATTGAGGCGATGTGAATTGTGTGCTGGGGAGCACAGCGAAGGGCTCTGAGGGGTTGTTCTGGGGGACTCAAGTTACGAGAAGCTGTGTTCTGAGGCGGGAATTATTGAAAGGCCGCGAGATTGTGATGTTAAATAGGGAATGTTCGGTAAATGTTCAATTGAATGAGTCCGCTTTCATTACTTTATTACATCATGAATCTGACTTGTTCTTAGATGCAGTGAGAAATACCATTGACTCATTGATCGACTCACTAGAGTAAGCGTAGATCAATCATCCGATTGGTTGGTGCGTACAACGGTGGAATATCCACAGTGACTGAACCACTAAAGCCCATCGCGATCAAGAGATCGACTGCAGATAAAGACTCCGCTGAGCATCAGCCTTATAAACACGGCATGTGACTCATTATGCTTGTTGATTACGATTGTAGGCACATGGAATGTGTCTCGTCGCAAAGCCTGCTCATTTAGGTCAAGCCAGGTCATCATGCAGCTTACATGCAGCAAGATGAATCTCCAGGGTCGGATCATGTTGAACCGCAGTACTAGGACGGCAATCACCAATAATCTCGATCTCGAGCCAGATGGAAGTGGTAGTCCAACCTGAAGGAGTTCGGAAATTCCAGCGGCTGTAAATATTTTGTTACAGCGAATGCCACACGATCGACGCAGAGGCACATTGATGGCCAATTGGCTATGCAGGTGGCACAGCACAGCCTTGTTCTCCCCAAGAGGCCTCACAATTGCATTTCATTCAGCTCTACAGCCAGACTGTCCACGAGGCACCCCATCCATCTCGCCTTTTACATTTTGGCAATAAAAAAATGGAAAAAGTCTGGTTCAAGCTCCGTCAGATTGATTATCCCCCCGCCCAAGAGGACGCCATCCTCAGCGGCGACGGCGATGATTCGATTGCCCCTCTCTGCCTAGGCCACTTCATCTCCAACCTCAAAACCCTCGACTTCCCTCTCAACCATGGTTCAATCCTCCCCTTTCCGCCACGCATGCGCGTCTTTTGCAACAGTACCCTCAACTTTACATGGGATGATGCCAGATTAAGATCCCCCGGTACAAATCTCGCTGCGGGGGCGCCGATACTCGCAGCTACGGGCGTTACAGCTAAGACGAGTCTGCAGTTTGCTTTCATGAAGACTGTGGAGAGTCATGAGGAGTATGATCGGTTGGATACGTACATAGTACAGCCTACGAAGGGGTATATCAAGGATTGTCTGGAGCAAGACCAATTAAAAGCCCATTACCAGGGAAAGGTCTCTTGGTCCATGTTTATGATCACAGGTATCAAAGTCGCCCGTGCGGGGAAGCGTGAAGCGCACGAAGAGACCAACATTGCAGCCGACATTGGTCCAGAACTGTAAGTCCTACCTCTCACTATAAATCCCAGCTGATATTGATGCTTTACAGTGACCTTCCGTTGGTTGCTACAACGAGAGCCACAGCCACCAATCAACGCATCGCCTCCCAGCGAGTTTCTGGAGAGCATCCTGGTGATTTCATCTGGGCTGTCCGTCTTGCCAAGATCCACAAAGGATTACTGATGAAGGACTGGTCAGTGGACCCGTATAGCAAGAGAGCTACGTTTGCAGCTGGGGATGAGTGTGAGCTCAATGTCGAGGACGTATTGTGCGACGAAGGCTTGGAGGGCTTCACGGTCGTCGAAGATGATGCAATCGACGAAGTTGTTATTTTGGATGGAAACTCAACAAACTAGATCAATATCTGGGGCTAGATACTTCGTTATTTGATACGAATCATTTTCTAGTTTGCCCTCTCCATCGCTTGTGATAGAACCTCCCTCACGCGTTGTCTATCCGCCTCCCGACTGACTCCATGCCTCAAAGGTAACAACTCCAGCGGTGAGATGTATCTGAGGTTACCTGCTGGCTTTGAAATAGTGCTGAATATCGACAGCATGCCTGGCAGCTTTCCTACATCCTGTGCCCTGAAGATCGAGGCTTTGTTATCCTTCTGTCGTGAAAAGTCGATGATTCTCGCAGCAAGTCCGGCCGCAACAGCTGTTGCCACTGTTTATAATCAGCAAATAAACTCTTCTCAAGACATATGGTTCTTACTTGAAGTTCCACTCATACGCTCATTCCTCCTCTGATCCGGATGTTGAAATCCCTCGCCTAGAATTGCAAAGTTTTGCGTATCAACACGAGGTTCCGGATTAAAGCTGGAGCTCTGATTGCCCGTATTGGTAGAGTAGATGCACATGGTGCTGAGATTATGCCGAGCTGGAAAGGCGACAGTGTTCGTGTTCTGCCAATTTGAAGCGGCGGCTATCACAAGCACTCCCGCGGCCTTGGCTTTGGTAACAGCTTCATCGAGTTCTTTGGAGTAGTTGCGGAAACCAGCGGAGATGCTGATGATATCGACGGACCGCGGTGGCTCGATGGCCCAGTGGATAGCCTGTTTCAACAGTCAGTATAAGTCCCGCATTTCATTTTCATTTGACGCAGACCTTCGCCATTCGAAGAGGTCCCTCAATCTTATCAGCATGGTCCCGTTCAAAGATCCTCGCAATGTAAAGCCTAGCTTCCTCATATACCCCCTGAACGATCCCAGCACAGCAAGTACCGTGCCACGAGTCATTGTTAGGCACGCCTGTAAAGTCTTTATACTCAGCTCGGTAACGACCTCTCTCCCTATCATGTAGGCCAGAGTCGATGATAGCGATCTTGACCCGCTCGTAAGAATCCTTTCTCTCGCCTCGCATAGTTCTGATTAGGTCGTCTATTTCATCAAGCCAATGACCCGCCGTACGTTCGTTTTCACTTCCAAAACTGTAAGCTATTTGTCGAGGTATTCTGGGAAACTTACCTCTTGATGAATGTGGCTCTGAGACTTCGTGGCTTGGTCCCTCGTAGAGTAAGTTCCTCCCAGCTCATCCGGGAGACGATAGACTTGCCGCTCTGATCATAATCGCTTATCCATATCTCCAGGTCTTGTAGAGACTTCAAGAGGCCTCTTTGAGATATCTGTGGCATCTTGTCTTTGACTATCCCTCTGTCAGCCTCGAGGCACAAATAGAAAACGCAGTAGGAAACCCCTTACAGTTGATACAGATAGCATTTTCGTATCTCTCTCTTGACACAATTGCCCTGCAACTCTGATCTCCACCTTCGTGTGATGATACCAACTTGAGGGTCATTATTGCTTGGCTGTAACCTTTGGAGGATATTACAGACTCCCTCCAACTTTCGGCATCCTCTCTTGGACTGGAATCGGAATCAAGCAGCCGAAGACGCACGACTTGCTCGTTTTCCATAAGGCCACGAATGAAAAATTCTCGCAGTCTGTCCTGACCAGCTTCGAGATATGCCGTGAATTGCTGTGCGTCTATCATCAGTGTGATAGTCAGTTTGTAGAAAATGCCTAACACGGCTTGAATGACCGACCTTCTCGTAGATCGAAGTAAAATTCAACATCATCCTCAGCTCCCTCCTGCCCTCGAACAATGGCATGTGGTACCATCGTATTCTGAAGAGTAACAACAAGTCTACCGAGAGGGTTGGTCTCGTGACATATCCTTGTATCTAAGTTTACTGCAGTAGGATTTGTTAGTATCAGCACAAACCACTACTCCCCTTATAGCAGTGAGACTGACCGCGCACTTTCCAGGCGTCCTTGTCCGAGCGAAATCCTTTTGAAAGGATATAAAAGTAGGGCTGAGGCAATAAGCTGGTCATGACCCCTTGACTTAATTCCTTCCCCGAGTGGGGAGATTGCAATACGCCAAAGTGTTTTAGCTCGATACGTGAGGGCTTTTGAAGCAAGGTCGAGGTGTTGGACGAGTGGAGGATAACTTTCGCTATCTTGGCAGAAGGAAACCCCCAGTCGCTTGAGCAGTTCAGCTTCCAAGAGACACTCAATGGATGTCAGGCCAAATGTGGTAACAACTTACTTTTGTATCATATGCACCATTCCCGGCCAAACTGTCATGCCGAAAACACGCTTGGGAGATATTCCCTGAGGACAAATGTTCTTTGATGCGGCATCAAGCTCTTTATAGTCTATGCGAACTTAGCCCAACATCTCATAGCTTTGAGGGGGCGCTTGTACATTTTGGCGATACTTTCGATAATCTCACAATGACCAGCTCTGGCGTTTCCGGCTTCACCGCCATAAGAGACCATTTGCGCTGCCTATCAGGATTTAGTTCCTCTGTGAGGAGGCTCTTTCCTTTTATGACTAGCTTTAAATCAGCATCTATCCATAAAATCGTTTATGCTCGGGTTACTCACGTTTGTAGGTCAAGGTGTCGGCATGCGGTTCGCCTACACAGCAGCACCGACACTCGAAGACTTTTGGTTTCTCTGTCGTACTATCACGGAGACGAGCCTTCGGACAGATGATTAGTTCATCTGGAATTGAATCAGACCCGGCGTATGGCGTTAAGGCTCTCTCGCTGAGTGTGAAAGTTGTCTGTGAGTTATTGACAGGTGACGCAAGTGGGAAGATCCGGTCCGAAACATTGAGGATTTCCTCCGCCAGTTCATCGAAGACCCTCATTACATCTTCTTCTACCAATGTACCTGGGTGTAACGTGTTCATGATTGAAAGTTCTGGAACATCAGAGGTTTACCGAGAAGCATGCTACATGATCAAAAAGAAAATAATCAGGCTGGCGCAAGGGAACCAGGCTCATTAGTGGCAGTGCTTATGCGGCTGAGTCTGGTGGTCACGTTAGGCAGCGACACAGCCCATGTCTCAGTCCGACCACAAGTTATACATCCCAGCCTTATTGCGAGAAGTGTCATGGCAATGGCAACTTGATGGGATAGTATTAGACCTGGGCTCTCTTTCTTTTCCGTTCAATCTTGACTCATTTGTAGTCTTTATTCTCTTACTGAGGATATACCTGGAAGCAATCTTGTCTCTGGAAAGCCACAAATACCCCCACCTCGCTGAGTACTGAGTCTCTCAACACCTGCGTGTCCGAGTACAAGGATCCTATATGATGATTGGCAGCGACCCCGCTGGTCAGACCACCTCTCCCCTCATCATGCATGCGATATGCACGTTCATCACACAATCGTGAGGCCCTTCACTTGAGCCACATTTATCCAGATCAATAAAAGGCTCAGATCAAGATAAATATAGACTTTCATGATTAAATTATGCTCTTCGAGTCCGAGATAGGATTCATCAGTGAGATGCAAAGCATATCCCGAAGGAATCGGATAATTATACTCCCAGGGCCCAACCTCATGCACCCTTGAGCGATTATCTGCATCCGTCTTACTCTGGCAAGCACTGCGGCTGCGACATGGGGGTTGAAAATCCTTAGTCACACGCTTGGCATGATGATTTGCATACGGAGTAAGCAGTACTGTTGGAGTGATAAGAACGACTGAACAGAACTCTCCTTCCTTCTAATACATGCCAGCAGTTCTAGTTGAGATTTCGCTATCATACTACCGACTCGAAATTAGAGACTCAACAGCAAAATGGCTAGCCGTCATGTCTTTACCCAGCGACTTAAGTCCGGGGTCATATTCTCGGCCCCAGGCAACTTGCTAGCCATGCCTGAGGGAGGTTGGGGTGACGATACACCCGTAACCCGACAGAAAAGGCCCAAGAGAAAAGTCCAAGGTCGTGCGTTCGATCATTTTTCTCACTGGGTAGCGAAAGCGACGCCTAATGACGAGCCATACGATGATATTGGCTCCTTCACGCCGGTTAAAGATACCCGTGGCATTGGAAATGAATACAGGTCTTACTCTATAGCACCATACCACGAGCCTGAAGCCGAAGCTAGGGTTGCAAAGATACCCGAGGTCACACTATGTCTATCGATGCTCAGTGTTTCTTTGACGGCGACTGTGGACGGTACAGTCGCTCATACAGAGTTGGTGCAGAAATTTCACAATCCTTCTGACATTATCATCAACGCGGCGAAGCATGTGTTCCCTATCTACGATGGAGCTGTTATCACATCCTTTGAATGCACCATTGGCGATGAGCGTCGCGTCAGAGGTGTCGTCAAGCCGAAGGTACAAGCGCGAAAGGAATTTGAAGAAGCAGTTGGCGATAAAGTGGCAGCTCCCGCTCTTTTGGAAGAGCATACACCTGAGATCTTTGAGACGTCCCTTGGAAACATACCAGCCAACACGACCGTGGAGATCAAGATCACTTACGTTCAAGAGCTCAAGGTCGTCATGATGGAGTCAGAAGCAACCGAGGGGATAGCTCTCACTATTCCAATGTCCATTGCTCCACGCTATAGTAAAGCGCCAATAGAGTGGGAGCCAGCATCGAAGGTAACAGAGGACAGGCTTGATATATGGATCAAGGTCATGGACAACGGCAAAGTCAATCAGGAAGGTTGTGAAGAGGAGTCAGGTCACCTCCTTCAATTTGAGGGCTCCAAGCCTGCCGAATACTCCAACATGCTGGAAAGGAATACATCACCCAAAACCTACTATGTCTGGCACCATGAGTCCGAGCCACCTGTTCTGAGAAAGGACTTTGTGTTTGTCATTCAGATGAACGAAGGGCACCAAATCAAATCAGGAGCTATCGCTTGCCCGGCAGATGACAAGGGCTTCGCTGCTCTGAGAGTGAACATCCGACCTAACGACTTGTTCCGGAATGCCATTATTCCTCAATCATTTACTGGCGAGATCCTATTTCTTCTTGACCAATCTGGATCTATGGATTGGTCAAACAGCTCACCAGACTATTACAGTCGTCGCAAAGGACCACGAAAGATTGATGTCATGCGTGAAGCCATGCTGTTAGCTCTTTCAGGTATTCCATCTACGTGTGTCTTCAATGTCATCTCCTGGGGCTCGGCAACAATGGGCTTATGGGAGAGCTCGCGGGCTCATACTCGGGAGAACATCAGAGAAGCCAAGGGCTACGTGTCTCAGATTGAGGCTGACATGGGGGGAACGGATCTCCTTCGGGCGTTGGAGTCTGTAGTGAAACGGCGAGCGAAGGACAAATCCACGCAAATCATCATTCTCACAGATGGTGAACTGGAGCCCGAAGACTCGATACAATTTATCTGGAAGAAACGCCAGCTGTTCGGAGATAGCATTCGGTTCTTTGCTCTGGGTATTGGAGACGAAGTATCTCACCGCCTAGTCGAGAGTATCGCGGAGTGCGGTGGTGGCTACAGCGACGTAGTCCATACTACACAGACTCCACGGTGGCATGATCGCTTGAACCGCCTGCTGAAGTCTGCTCTGGAGCCGAACAGCTGGAGTTGCGATATCGATCTTGGTAGTGGTTTTGAAAGGAAAACCTTGGCTGATTACGACATTGGCAAGAATAATCCTGCAGATGAGGGCAAGATACCTTACATCCAAGCCCCTTCTCCAATCTCCTCACTCCATCCATTCAGCTTCACCTCGATCTCTTTCTTGATCGACCTTCGGCATGGCGGCGAGCTCCCCAAGAGTGTCACCATAAGCACAACAACAACCGGTGCGAAGAAGAAAACCTATGAACTAGCCATGGAACAAGCACCAGGCAATGATGGTACAACCACTTAGTCGCCAAATCGGTTCTGCTAGATCTTCAAGATCAGATCAAGCGTGGGGAGACCGAGACTCAGATTGCCAAAGCGAATGCTGAGAATATTGGCACGATGTACTCCATTACCAGAAAATGGACTAGCTTCGTGGCTATCTCGGAGAATCAACCTACCCAGACTGTTGAGGAGCAAAAGATGAATCACTACAAGGCACTGTTTGATGAGATACACATCGACGAGCTCCTCAACAACGTCAGTGATGATGGGAGTTCATCTTGCGGTTTCTCTGGTTCCTCCGGACATGGCATCCCTTGGAGCTACCAAGTGACTCACTTGGGTGTACCAGCAATGTATAACAATCCTACTGGACATCATTCGACGACGCGCCGAGTACTCGAGTCTACAAGGAGAGGAGTCTCGGTACCAGCTTATATGATGAGCCCACAACCCAACCTCGTGGATAGCAATGGCCGCGATTGGCCGATCTGTCCTACGGATAGCACTCCTCGTCAGTTACATCCCATGATACATCCCCAGCCCGCTCCCGATCCGAAGGCAGATGATAACAACGTCCGTGTCTCCGGTCAAAGCCTGGCCTACCCTTCGAGTCCCAACGATGAAGCCACTCAGGCACAGCAAGAGCAGGGTTCGCGGCCATATGATGGATCATCAGGGTCTTACCCGTCGGATAATGGAAATGATCCTGCCCACAGCAGGTTCGATAGCAAACAGAGTCCCGGCGAACCATCACGACCTTCGATACGGGATATGGAACCGTTTCCAATACCAGCTCACATGCCTCAATATTCACCAACGCGACCAAAATCCGGAATTGGCTTACCACCTGGATTTGTAGACGATAGTCAAGGTGGGCGCTCTGCGCTTAGGCAGTGTTCTTTGGATGAAGATAATGATGAGTCCAAAGCTCCACGTCCCGCGGGCTCCCCAGTCACGCACGATCCACGGCAAGAGGAACCGCAGGGATCTGGTGATAGAATTACAAGCCGCAGTTCGAGGGTACGTTCGAATAGCACTTCTGGGCCTAGACCTTGGGCAGTCCAGGACTCTAGTGAGTTTCGAGCTCAGGCGACGAGTGTCGACGATGATGTTTGCCTACCCACAAGAGAAGGCGTTCTTGAAGACAAATCCTCGACATTTGATGGACATGATTTCCCTCTTTATCCTAATGATTCCGATTGGCAAGAAGCGGAAAGATTGGAGCGTACGCGTATCCGAGCGGAAACTACAGACGACATCCAGCTAGACTGTACACCACTTATGGCAGAAATTGCTGAGCCCCCCGAAGTCGCCGCTCTCGTAGCTAAGCCACCTAGTGGTGAGTCGTATGCTACGCCGCGGAGTTATAACCCCGCGTACTCCGTGCCTGTGAGATGTCTTTGCGCTTCTGAGGACAACTCCGATGGTGATACCGCTCAAGATCACCAGCCCTACCATTCGCAGCGCGACGACTTCGCCCAAGAAGAGGTTGCTAGTGAGCCCATGATCTCGCCACGCGCGAATCGTGGAATCGCTATAGCGACAGAAATGGTGCAGAGCTGGGCAATTCCAGACGCTAATGACAAGAGTGTAGCTGGTGGTCCTAAATTCCCTACTCATAAACCTCTACCTATCCTCAAATCCAAACGCGATGCCAACGTTACTTTTGAACCAGAATTTGCTTCGTACGATATCTCTATGAGTCGGAGCATTTCAGAGTCTCCCTCATCTCAGTCGGAATTATACGGCCCCTTAAACTGGCAGTTCGCGATAGAGTGTCAAGATGGCGAGGGTCTCTTCGATCTTGATGAGAAAAGGTCATCTCTGCGCTTGCACTTTTGTCCTGAAACCGCCGCAAAGATCAGCCCCAAGATTTCTAAGCTTCTGCATAACTCCGCAACCCCAGAGCAAGAGAGGGACGATATGTGTGCCCGACTGCTTGACACGTTGATGATGATTGAGTGTTACAAGACGCACCTGGCACAGGAGGAGGATACTTGGGACCTGATGATGGAGAGGGCGTGGGACGCTGTGATATCGGTTCTGGGACTTAGTGATGAAGAAGAAACGTTGGAAGAACTGGCGGGTCAATTGAGGGGAGCTATGATGCACGCGCATTACGTTGCAGCAACGGGGGTTAAGGACTCAGAGAGGGATGACTGTTCTGTGGATACGGTGAGATGTCCAGTTTGTGACGTGGTATGGCGGACAACAAGACAGTTCTTTTGTCCTTTTGATCATGGGTCGGACAACGACGTTGACGAGTTCATGAACTGGGATAATTTTTGGAGACATCAGGTAGCTGAGGGACATGTGGTTTGTGCTCAAGAGGTTATATACTAGCAGCTAGAAATGGCATTAGGAGGATATCTAACTGGTTTCTATATTTCACTTACCCGAGATCTTGTTTTATTTTATGTTGCGTCACTGAGGCTTGCTTGTTTCACCGTGACATGGGCATCCAGACATGCCGCATACCCTAGAGCTGTATCGTCGAACACAAGAGCCGGTCCTCGCGCTTCATCCCACTTCATCTGAGGTGAACAAGATTGCATTAATTTCTCAATAGTTCATGCAAATATTCTTACTCTCCTGCTGTGAGGCTGATAATATTATGCGCCTAGTCAAAGCGACACTAGCGTCGCAATAGCTTCATAGAAATGTCGCGCGCGCAATTCACAGTCATGATGCTGGAACACATCGTGCTCAAAGCTGGTAGCAACAGAGATGAGGGGACCGGCCTTCCGAAGATTCCGAAGCTGTGGAACGTGATTATAGATGCCGATTTCACCCAGGAATGCTACCCATAAAAACTATAGTAAATGACTGCGATAGCAAAACCACGGAATAAACGAACCTTAACGAAGCGGCATTGAGAGTCTACGCCCGCTCGGGCCGTCCGAATCTCCACTTTCCAACTGCCGATCCCTTGCGGAGAAATCCACAGGCAATGATCTACGCCAAGGTACCAGGGCAGGCTACGTCAATTGCCGTGACTTTTCTCCTTGGAGCTCCTCCCTATAAGTTACACCTATTTCCATAACTTATTTCTTTACGCAATCGGTTCTGAGGACAAATCTGCAGACATTCACATCTTACCGTCGATATTTCAGTGTCGTACAACAGCCTGCATTGCATCATGGATCCGGACAAGACCAGTACAGATGGCACAGACAACATGAGGGGTTCAACAGGCTCGCAACCTCTCATCTCAACACCCGACATGGACCGAAGAATCAGACGCGCTGTAAGTTAACCCCTCCCTCAAACATCAATTCTCTAACTCACAGAAACCGTCAGTTTGACCGTCGCGTCATGCCCGTCGTCTGCTGTCTCTACGTCCTCTCGTATCTCGACCGCGGTAACATCGGCAACGCCAAGACCGCCGGTGCACAAGAAGCCTTGAACTTGAGCTCCGATGACTGGGCGTGGGTTCTCAATTCGTTCTATCTCGCGTATATTATGTTTGAGTGGACGACTATGTTTTGGAAGATATTCCCTGCTCACATTTATGTGTCCATCCTTTGCGTTTGGTGAGTCTTCCGTAGCTTGTTGGGATTTCCGTTGCTGATGAAGAGCCAGCTGGGGCACGGCTGCGATGTGTTCTGGGTCAGTTCATAACATGACTCAGTTGATAGTCACGCGCATCTTTCTTGGTATTTTTGAAGCTACCTTTGGTGCTGGTGCTCCATTCTTCTTGTCGTGTCTGTACAAAAGAAGAGAATTAGGTCTACGGATGTCTATCTTACTTGGCATGTCTCCTCTGGCAAACACCTTTGCATCAAGCTTAGCATATGGCATCACTCATATCAAGGGATCGTTAGCACCATGGAGACTGTTGTTCATCATAGGTATGACCACCCCTGCTCAGAATAACATATACTGACATTAATCAGAGGGCGCACCCACTATCGCCTTCGCTCCCGTGGTCTACTTCTTCCTCATCGACTCCCCCGCAACCGCAAAGTTTCTCACAGAAGAAGAACGATACTTCGCCGTCCAGCGCGTCCAAGGTCCCGATGGAGCCAAGAAAAACGTAAATTGGAGACAAATCATCGCTGGAATACTCGACTACAAGAATTACGTCCACGCTGTCATTCATTTCTGCTGCAACTTTTCTTTCGCGGCTTTATCTAACTTTCTTCCTACGATTGTTAACGCCATGGGTTACAGTTCTATTAATGCCCAAGGACTTACAGCGCCGGCTTATTTCACGGCTTTTCTGCTCTGCATGGGAGCTGCGTTCTTCTCGGACCGTTGGGGGAATCGTGGGTTTGTTGTAGCGGGCTTTGCTGCCATTGCTACAGTTGGTTATGGGCTCCTTGCAGGGATTCAAGATATCCACCGCCCAGGTCCTCGATACGCTGGAGTATGGCTCGCTGCGTGCGGTATCTTCCCAGCCCTATGCATCAACATTACGTGGTTACTTAATAATCAGGGACGCGATTCGAAGAAGGGAGCAGGTCTTGCCATCACGTTGATAATAGGGCAATGCTCGTCTCTCCTGAGCAGCTACATGTTTCCAAAAGAGGACTCGTAAGTTGCTTGTCTAATTTATGCTTATATTACAACTAATATCGTGATAGACCATTCTTTGTCAAGGGTTGCGCAATCGGTTGTGGAATGAGCGGCGCCATTGTTATTTTGGCGTTATTTATGCATTTTGCCTTGGAGAGAGAGAACAAGCGCAATGAAAGGCTCTATGGACCTTTGGATGATGACGCCGAGGTGGATTTTGCAGATAACGGCGAGCAGAGCAAGAGTTTCCGGTACCTGACATGAGTAGATAGCCTCACCGATTAGACGTCATCTTTCAACCTACCCACCATGTCAGCATTAGACTGTAAGGCATATCAGAAGGCGGACCAGTTAGCCCCACGCATAGCCTCAAATCTGCCTTAATCCACAAAATAATATTCTCGTTAAAAATTTAAATATCTAAACATTATCGATCGTTGAATGTCGTTGTCAGCTATTTAAGCTGGACCGTCACCTTCACACAGCCAAGTATCTTCACAATGGCGACGAACAGTGTGACAAAGGCGGGGTCGGCCCCAGGGCTTGATGTCTTCAAAACTCCAGAGAACCCGACTTTTTATTCCGCGAACCTGTACCAGAGTCTCGACAAAAGCAAGCAAGAGATTCGACTCATCGAACTTTCTACACAAGCTGGCGATGACGATATGCTTGAGTGCAAGTTACTGCCTGCGACGTTATTGACCGACGCTCGAAAACAGTATCTTGCTCTGTCATATTGTGCAGGAGACCCAGCAGATACAAAGAAAATCCTGGTGAATGGGGTAAGATGCAACATTTTTGCGAATTTGCATCATGCGCTGGTACTCGCTCGCCGTTATTGGACTCGATCATCTGGACGAGGACCACTTCGAATCTGGATCGATCAGTTGTGTATCAATCAGCACGATTTGAGGGAGAGGTCACACCAAGTTGGCTTCATGAGGAAGATTTACGAGTCCGCAGAACGTACATTAGCTTGCTTATCGACATCAGAAACTAGTGGCGAGGGACTGAAATGGTTGAACGACCTATGTGATGCTTTCCCTTTTCAAGAAGACGATGGGACAATACTATACAACAGAGAATACAGATTAGGTACTGAAAAAGGGGCTGAATTACAAGAGGCAATCTGGGACACCTCCGAATTCGAGTGGCCTAGGGACTACAAACTGGAGAAATGGTTCCACATATGTGGCTATCTCCAGAAACACATGTTCATCGAGAAGTTTGTGAACGGGTGGATTGCGTTCTACGACGTGCTTACTAGCCCGTGGTGGAACCGAGTTTGGATCTGCCAGGAATTCCTGGTATCCAGTCAGCTCACCTTCCTGTTCGGCAACCATTTCATTCCATGGGAAAAGTGCTGGAGAACCATGGAAGCGTTTTGCGGAACACACAAAAACTACCAGATAGATCGGGACGCTTTCCTGGTATACCTGGGCGTCTCGGTAGGCTCTCCTGAGGATCGCCAACTTTGCCGCATCCTCGGCATGGTCAGCCAAAGAGACCACGTCCGCCAAGTCAATCACGTTGGGGTGGCCTTGAGGATGAAGATTCGCTGGACTGGCAGCAAGGATATCATAGACCTTCTGTCGCATTCGCGTTCTTGCAAATCTTCCGATGATCGTGATAGAGTATATGCTATTCTCGGGCTAGCTTCGCCAGGGTATCGGGTGTTTCCCGACTATTCACAAGACATGACCGCAGCGCAGGTCATGCTTATGACTACCAAGGCAATTATAGACAAGGAAGATAGCCTGTATGTCCTTGTAAGCGCTACCATGTTAGTTCGATCTAGGAATCTCGACGTGCCTTCGTGGGTCGTCGACTGGTCTAGTACCGAAGCTTCGGATATTCGAAACAACTTTGGGGGCAGGCGATTCCACCGACTGAACTGGGTGCCACAAGAATGTCCAGAGCATAGTTTTGAAACCATTACAAACACGTTTCAGCACACAGAAGCGCACATCCTGAGGGTTTATGGAACATTCGTCACAAAAGTACAGCGCATTCCAGCAGTATGGCCGCAGGCGGAATTCGCTGGGGCCCAAGGATTTCATGGCAGCGCTCTTGTCAATATCTCAGATGGAGATGAACTATGGATCTTGCGTGGGCTTGGAGTACCCATTATCCTAAGGCCATATCGTGATGGTTACCTGGCGATTAGTTGTGCCTTTCTCGTAGGGCCGAATGGCGAGGGGTTTGGGACACCGGTGATATCGACTGAAGAGATTAGGGCTAATAGGAGTCGCATCATATTATACTAGTGCACGCCCATCAATGTTCATGGAATGATAGTATACGGTCTTTTGATACTTGTGCGAATATTGCCGTATATACTTCTAATTTTAAGAGGTGTTATAGTAGTTTGTTTCAAGGATTATTTCACAAGAAAGACGAGAATTATGTTCAATGATCAACGCAGCTACCGTCGTTAGCGGTCTGCTGCTCCCAGGATGCGTTGGTATCGGAACCGCCTTTTCCCGAGAGCATCATACCCACAATGCCTAAAAACGCAATATAAAAACATCACCCAGTCTCTGGTTATCCTCCCCAAGGCCTCCATGTACAACCACAGCATCTTTTCCATCTCCATCCCGTACAGCATCAGCATCAAACCATCCCCTAGCAACAGGTTCCTCGTCACCAGTCTCCACCCTCTCCCAGGTACCCCCCTCAATATCAAAGGCCCAGACATCAGACAGCATCTTTCCAGCGCCAGCGTGGCCAAGAGCGCTAGGGTCTCTCTCGCCAAACATGGTGACCAAAAATGTCTTGCTCTGTACCGAGAGTGCCAGTAGTGTTGCGACACTTCTCGCTTCAGGGCCTTCAACGCCATCTGGCTTGTAGGTAACTGTAGACCATGAACCGGTCTCAATGTTATAAATATCCAGCGCACCGCCCTGTTCCGTGTTACCGTCGAAGCCGTTCATGCGATACAGTTTCCCGTCGTGGAATGCGATGGAGGAGCCACCACGCGCAGGCCCTGGTGCAGAGGGGAGCTCAGCCCATTCCCGTTTGGTCACGTCGAAAACCCAAAGGTCGTTCAGTCGGTTCTGCTCAGGGCATCCAGAGTGCAAGTAGATCTGGTCAACACCATCTGAGGTGATGCAATGGTAGCTTCGACCATCTGGGAAAGGCGCACAAAGATTGGCGGGCTTGATAGAGTCCCACGTATTTTCGGCTGTGTTGTAACGCCAAACAGCGCCCTTTTCTTCGACTGGCCTCATTTCGAGACCGCCGCGTCCGGAGAAGAGGAAGATGTTGTTTCCGATGGTGGTGCTTGGGCTGCCGACTCGAGGCGAGGGAGCTTTGGCGGGAGCTGTGAGGGTTTGCGCGCCGTCATCTGAAAGGGTCAGTAAATATTGAGTAATGGTTGAGTATAAGAGGACCTTGAGCATCGAGACTGACAACATCAACTCTGTTGTCGACTGGTTCACGCGGAAGTAACTCGCCGCCAAAGATGTAGATCTTTTGACTAACCGTAGAGACAGCTTGGGAGGAACGGTAGAGACGCTTGCTGGAAGTGATGCGAGACCAGGTGGCCTTTGGTAGATTAGTAGAAACCATTGTGAATGTCAAATTATAGTAAATAGATGATTAATATTGTGAGAACATGCCTGAGTAGCAGGAGGGAAGCTTTGTAGTTATACTCCCTCGAGTACCTTGTTGGGTTTTTAAACATCAAGTCATTTGGACGTAGTCTATCTGCTTCCAATACTATCACAACTACAGCTAGTTTACAACATGATGGCGCCATGCGTGAGAATCTAAGTCGTAAACCCACATGAAAATCATGGGTCACAGCGGGCATGCGGACTCCGCGCCCCCCATCAGAATAACCAACAATTCACCAATCAGCGGAGTGGACATACGGCACTTGAGATATTGAGGTTAGCTCACCACGCACCATTAAAACCACCACGGAATCCGCTCCTCCGCTGCAAACTACCAACCTTTCATTCAATCAACAATGCCTCCAAGAATACGAGCCTGCGACGGTTGTTTCAAAAGAAAGGTGACACACATGACCCACGCCCGAAGTATCCGTAGCCTAACGGCAATAAATTAGATTCAATGCATCAGACCAGATCCCGAACGGCGGTGTGAACGCTGCGCGAAGCTTCATCTCGAGTGCGCGTCCAACAGGGAGCCCAGCACTAAAGCAAATTCGAAGTATGTCCCTTTGACAGCGTAGGAGAAAGATTGGCTGACGTAGGTATTATAGAGTAGCCCTTGCAAGCCAGGTTGCGACACTAGAGAGCCGAGTTGCGCAGCTTGAAGCATATCTTGTGCAGATGCGTGCCGAGATTAGCGCAACTTCGGCCGCCGCTTCAATTCCAACCTTGCGAGGTGATTCTGAGGATACCGCGGGTTGTATCTCGCCATATCTCCAGCAGAAATGCTCAGACACTGCGTCTGTATCGCTCTGGACATGTCTCGGACAGCATTGGTACTTCAAAGGCATACCCATCAATTCCCCCCAAGGCCGAGAGTGGATATCCTCCAAGATCGGCAAAAGCGTCTCCCTCGCTGGGTTCCGCCTCTTTGGATCACATAAACACCAGTTTAGCAGCTCATCACCCTCATTCAAATTCCCAGAAAGACAAATGACGGAAGCATTTTTGAATTCGTACTTCACCTCGCCCTGGCGCCTTTTATACCCTATGATCGACCCAGTGCTTATGGAAGAGACATGGGCGGCGGCTTATTCCGAGTCGGAATCGGCGCAAGTGTGCCTTTTGGTGTTTATGGCTTTGTGTTCGCGGTTGAAGGGCTCCCAGGTACGCCTCGATGATAGCGATGTCTACATACATGCGTCGCATAGCTATTTGCCGCAGTTACTTGGTCAGAGCACTCTGGAAAGCCTTCAGACCGTTATCATGCTAGTAAGTGAACGATTTTAAGCAATGCCTACTCTGCGCTAACATATTTCAGCAAATCTACCACCTACTCTCAGGCCAGTGGGGTGCTGCTGCTGAACTCCATCCCTACGCCTGCCGTGCTATATACAATCTCAAAGGTCACATCGCACATCCACATCTACCGAACGACTCCGATAGCGCAGTTAATCGTCGACACAGACATATTCGGAACCTCTTCTGGCTATGCTACATCCTCGACAAAGACATAGCCATGAGATACGGGAGGCCGCCTTGTCTGACGAGGGACTACTGTGACTTGACGTTGCCACATGATTGGGCGAGGGTATATAACGCACCAGCTAGAACTACTCAAGACGAGATGATTTCGCACGACGATGCTGTTTGTTTTTCGCAGGACCTTTGCCTCTCGCAGATCAAAGAAACGATTTGTCTATTTCTCTGCTCGCTGGACGATTCGAAACTATCAGACGCAGCGATTCTTGGTCAAGTTCGTCAACTAGACGGTGACATTGAGACGTGGCGCTTAAGTATCCCAATGGACTATAGGCCAAAGTGGTCTCTGAGCTCGGGAAAGCCACTCATCCACCCAGATATGTCTTTTGTTCAAAGAACAAGGTGCATTAATCTGCAGCTAGAATACAAGTATCTGACGACGGTGATCCATACCGCTGTCCGGAGATGCGGCGCACTATACGCCGTTGACGATAGTCTACCTGACGATCTTCATAATGTTTATCATTCAAGTAGTGATATCTCTCTCGAGGCGAGTCGCACTACTCTCCAGATCTTCAAATCACATATAGATATCCTTCAGGAGGACATGTTTGGGTAAGTCGAACTCGTCTCTTTACACATCATAATTTAACATCAACAGCCACATCGCGATATACCCCCCGATAGCGGCCATGGCGCTTTTTATGAATCTTCTTCTTCATCCTTCTGATAAACGAGCCCGAAACGATCTTGATCTGTTGGCAGGTTGCGCAACGCTGTTCCAGGACATGGCAATGGAAGACTTGACAAATGAGGATATGGACTGTATTCAAGAGCTCAGCAGGTTCGTTTCCGAGCTTGTCCGTCTCGGGAACAGTGCGATATGGAAGGCAAAGAGGGAATGGAGGAGCACGGCCGGGATATCATCATGATCCGGCATTAAGACTCGTATACGGATTTTCCGGTACTCCCTATAAAGTTTCTAACTTGCGACCGGGCCGTATACCCGATGACAACGATCCGTCGCATCTGATTGGTCCGACCGGACCCTAAAGAAGTATCAACTATCCGGTCGAGATTTTTATCTTACGCGCCGTCTTTTCACTAACGAATTCTTGCAATTTACCGTCCGCGCCTTTTAGATGACGCTTTTCATCCTCAGAATTCGATACTACGTGAGACTTGTGGCTGAGAGCTTAACTCAGCGGACAGAACTTAGTGAACCGGATCAAGATCCCGGTCCCGCTTATGATAAGCACCGGTTGTTCTGAACAAGGCGCTTCCCCGCAATCATAACTAGCAAAGGGTATTTAGAGGGCGCACGCCAATGATAGACGAAGGATAACAAACACATAAAAGACGACGATTGAACTGACAGACAACCATCAACACGAAACATCAAACTCGCTCATAGTAAGGCAATTGGCATCATGTCTTCAACCACCACTATCCAAGCCCAAAGCGGCACCCTCACCATCTCCCCCAATTCCAAACCCACCCACGGCCATGAACTCAAAGACAAAACCCCCCTGCAAGCAATGTCCCACGGCGACGTCGTCCTCAGCGGCATCCCCACGCACCCAAACTTCGCCTCCCAGCGCCAATGGCAGCTCGAGCACATGGCCGCTGCCTTTCGCCACTGGCACCGCGAAGGCTACGTCGAAGGCATAAGCGGTCATATTTCCGTACGCGACCCTGAATTCACCGATGCTTTCTGGACGAACCCTCTAGGCCGACACTTTGGCCTTTTGAAAGTTAGCGATATGATCCTCGTTAATTTGAAGGGGGAGGTCATTGGGGGCAATCGCTCACGACCGCCTAACTCAGCGGGGTTCTTGATCCATGCTTCTATTCATAAAGCTAGGAGTGATGTGCACGCTATTTGTCACTGTCATAGCATTCATGGAAAAGCTTGGTCTGTGTTTGGAAAGCGTCTTGAGATGTTGACGCAAGATGTGTGTAAATTCCGAGGTGACGCTCATAGCGTTTATGACAGTTATGGCGGTGTTGTTCTGGGTAGTGAAGAGGGAGACCGCATCGCAGCAGCGATGGGACCCAAAGGAAAAGGCTGCATCTTGCGAAACCACGGTATTTTGACTGTTGGACAGACAGTGGATGAGGCAGCGTGGCTGTATACGTCTATGGAGAGGAGTTGTCGTGTGCAGCTTCTCGCTGAGGCTGCGGCGGCGAATGGCCTGCCCAAGGTTTTGATTGATGATGAGGAGGCCAATTTCAATTTTGATGTTGAGAGTGACCCTGAGATTTGTTACTGTGAGTTTCAGGCTTATTATGATTTGGAGGATGAGCTGTCCAATGGGGCTTTTAAGAAGTAGGAAAATCAAGAGCGGGATTATTATACCTTTTGCGCGCAGTGTTGTTTGAGACGATGGAGATATCAGGCCATAAATTTACAAGTCAACTGTTCTTCTTTTCAAGCTTCAGATGGTATTATAGACAGGTTGTGAATGTACTGTGCTCTATTAGTCGACTTCACATACAGTGCATTACCAAAGTCCTGTTTCCTTGTAGGTGGTTCTGGTGTTCGATGACTTGCTGTTTATTTAAAAGTTCTCTATAAATCATAGATCTTCTGATATGCTGCAACCCTTCCTTTGCCACTCGTGAGCTCCCAAAAGCAAAAATGCGTTGTGATATGCACGGCGAGATAGCTGGCAGTTGGGACAATATTCAGTTGAAGTGACAGGCCCCTGGCCACGGCATCATCCTATGACCAAAAAGGACTTTCTCTCACTCCTATACTTTGACTGTCGATTGTATTATGCCTGGCCATAAGACTTAGCGCCCATTGCAATATACCATAGCAAGGGTCTGGCCATATGTCATATTCTTGCACTCCAGGTCAGACAAGCTATCAAAACTGCGCCGGGCTATGTGCTTAGCAGAGATCCTAGGCTTGGACTGACTCCTGGATTGACCTTTTCTTTTCTTCTCAGGTTTGAGGAACGCCTTGCTCTGCGTGCCTGGTGCGTAGTATTGTTCATTTATTCCTCTTCTTTGTGCCAAGTCTTTGTATTGTTGGCTGTCGTGCACCTTGAAGGCTTTGCGAATTATACTTGTGAAGCGGCGACCATAGCACATGTTGAAAGTGTAAGAGGGGGTTTGCTTTTTATTTGTTGGACATTCGCGAGAAGAAGGTCCAGGTTTGAGGGGGATCAGAGCTGGATGATTTGAGAAGTTGGCAGGTTGTCTTGAGGCAAGGGAAATTGGTTGCAATACTGCTGTGTAGAGGCGCAGATTTGTATGGGCTATCGACACCGGGACTGCTCTTATATATCTTCATATCTACATGTCGCCTGTGATGTTGAGATGAGTTATTTGTAAAGTGAAGTCTTCCTGGGATAAACTCTAATACGACTGGCTAATCACATTCTTGAATATCATCAATAACTTCGGAATCCCCCTGCTTCGGACTGAGAAACAATACTCTGTATCATTAAGCTTCCGAGTGAAAATAAAAGATGTGCCTAGGCATTCACTATACACTGGCTATGTATCAACGTTTATTGTTCATTTCCTTGGTCTTACTGAAGTCTCTTTTAAGGTCTCAACCTCATCACAGTCTTAGCACACGGATCAATGCAGGTCCGAATATAAGCTGCCCATATGCTTTCGGAGTCAAGGTCTTGCACAGGTTTCTTTTACATAGAGTTTACCGACTTGAGCCACGGCACTGACATTGGGTGCTTATCTTGAGGCTTGTGGCTGAGAGTCGAAGTTGGTAGAGAGAACTTATTTGGTTTAACTTTTCACAGGTTGAGGATTTTATATGAACATTGTGAATAAAGAGCTGAAATAGTGTATTACTGCTCTAATTTCTGCATATCCGAGGCCAGGCGGTCCTTTCTTGCCCAGCCTCTTGTCTTGTATGTCTGACAGTATCTCTAGAGGCGTCTAACATCGTCTCTCTGGCAATGGTCTCCAAGCATCCCACGTGTTCCTGTCGTAGAAAAGCAAAAGGCGAGCATAGTGGAATGGCACCAAGTGTAATTATATCCGACCTCCCAGGAAAATACAAGACGAAGCAGCATAGTCTGTTCCTTCTTAATGCAACCGTGGGTTTGCAAAGACAGAGATAGCTCAAGACAACATTATATTCCCAAGGATATAACTTGTCGTACCGTGCCTAGCCTAGTGATTTCTCCTTTCTGAGCACTGGAGTAACCCGTGGCGGATTCCTTGGTGCCGGCCTCAAGTCAGAGGACCATTCAGAGCCGCCATCGAGTGACTTTGAACAAGTCAAAAAGCTTTGCAGCGGTATTTTTGGGGGCAGAACCTCCGCGCATGGCTGTAGAGCCGCGTGAGCGAGCACCATGGCCCATAGCCCGAGTCCCGAGACTCGCCCCAGATCGAAATGCTCCGCCGGAGCTGTTGGACGCGAACCCGCCTCCGGTTCTTGGTCTGCCGCCACAGCACATGATGGATGCAAAGTGTGGTTGGGAGGTGGTGTAGGTGGTGGTGTTTGTAGATTGATAAGAAGAGCGTGGCTGAGTAACTGTGTGTGAGCCTGTAGCTGGATGAAGAGGGAAGAGCGAGGAGGTGACTGATTTAAGAAGAGAAAATATTTTCAGATTCGATGAACCAGAGGGTATACTTATATATTTTCCACATGAGGGCATAAGCTTCATACTTCTGTAACATCATGAGAAAATGAAAGTAACACGGTGGTATGAAGACTATCTCGACTCCGTATATCGACAAAGTTCGATGACCTTCGCATCTGATTAGTGTAGTAAACAAGTCTTTCCTATGAGAGTTTGATCTTGAATATTAAGATAAAGACAAATTGATTGATGACTGAAGGTTATAATAACTCACTGAGACATATCAATCTAATACACTGAAAAGTCCTATTTGACTTCAGGTTTTGGAAGGCAATATACATATAGCCTCAATAAAATCATACATCAGTCAAACTTTAGAATTCCTTTGACTCATGTTTTTGTAGAACTTGCATCAAGAGTTGGCGTTGCAAAATCTTGGCTTTTTTCTCCATATTCAAGACTGTCGAGTGTTTTCTGTCCTAGCCTCTCTCATGATGTCTACAGAGGCATCTGGCAACTCCCTATGGTAAGTTCCTCTCGACTCTTTCAAAGTTCTGTCTGCTGAACTAAACTCTCAGCCAAAAGTCTCTCATGCCTTCTCTTTATAAAACGTCGAAGATGGGTAAATGGCGAACATATCGACGGGATATGGTCTGAGCGTATGGTTTTGATCTTGCATCCAAGTTCGAAAAAGGAGATAAAATGAAGAAGCCTAGACTGTTTCTTTTGATTATAAACGTGATCGTGTGAAGATAAGAAGAGCAAAATTTCTTACTGCCAACTCCAAGGTAGAGGACCAGTTAGACCGTCCATCGAGTTACTTTAAATTCGCCAGGTTTCTTCGGAGTGCCCTTCTTGACTACAGAACCTCTAAAATGGCCCGCTGGCTTTTTGGCGCTTTTGCGAATATTAATGTGAATCTCGAGGCCCGATCGAGCAGGGCGATATGATGAAGTGAGGGAGTTGCTGGATCTTGATCTGCCGCAGCACATGATGAATGGTGAATGTGACTTGGGGCTGTTTGTTGACGTGGGCTATGGTAGATGGATAGAGGATGGTGAGAATAAGTGTTGGAGCTTATAGTTGGATAAGGGGATGAGAATGAGGCGGTGTGTTGTTTTTGGAAGGGGAATGGTTTTAGGATCAGGTAAATGGGAGGGAGGGGATATTTCTATAGATGTGAAACTCATCTTTGGCAACTAAATTTTCTCACTTCTATCTGGTCCAACCAAGATCCTGCCAGGAGAAAGGTTTATCTTTGAGATCCCCTGTGGGACGATTCAGGGGAGAGCACATTGGGTATAAGCATTCAATGTGCTTGATATATACTTCAGGCAGCGTATCAGATTTCAATGTGACAGCTGAACACA